TGAACCCTAAACCCTAAACCGCAAACCCTGAACCCAGACTGAACCTGAAACTTCGCATTTCACACCTCCTCTCCGCAGATGTGGCGCTCACCGGGTGATGGCACCCTTTCGGCTACGGCTTTTTGGGGTTCGGGGGGTTTGGGGGCTTCAGGGCTTTAAGGGCTTTAAGGGATTTAAGGGATTTAAGGGATTTAAGGGATTTAAGGGCTTTAAGGGCTTTAAGGGCTTTAAGCACTTCAAAAAAGGGCAAGGGGCTTCAAGGGGCTTCAAATGGCTCATAACGGCCGACAAGCAGCTGTCCGGAGTGTCAGGGTTCTCCGGCCCTATAAGACCCACCAAGGCAAAAGTGTGGAAAGAAAAAAAGAAGCCAAGTCCTTCAGACAGAAGCTGACGATGACACAAAACGTCCAACATGAAAAAACCAAAAAATGATTAAAATAAAATATAATATAATATAATACAATACAATATAATAGAATACAATATAATGGAATATAATCGAAAAAAAATCAGCCGCCCCCCCCCCCCCCCCCCCCGGCCTAAACCTCAATGGCGTCGCCGCCGGCTTCGACTGCGGCTCGGGCTGCGCCTGGAAGGGCTGCAATAGGGTTTAGGGTTTAGGGTTTAGGGCTTGGGAATCTGGCCTGGAGGCAGGAGTGTATTGAACATTCGCAGCCCTTTTCCACGAAACAGCAAGGCTGGCTTAGTTCTAAGGGCCCCTAATTGGAGGTTCATTAGTACTTATTCACCAAGTATAACTGTACTTATAACCCACTTATAAGCCCCTTAAGGGCCCTAATATGGTTATAAGTACAGTTATAGGTACAGTTATAATTGGTTAATAAGTACCATGAACCTCCAAGTAATATGGTCCCTTACCTTCTTCAAAGGGTCCTGAAGTAGTTAGCTGTTGTAGGGCATCTAAGGGGTGCATAAAGGGGACCAAGGGCTCATACTAAGGGACCGTGTAATTACCTTAATTGCCCTAAGATTCTGGCGCACGAAGACATGTGCTCCAGTGCTCGAGGAGCAGCAGAAAATCACAGGCGGGCCGTGCTAGACTCCCGATTGCGTGCCTCCGTCGACGACTCCGGCTTCGCCTCCGGAGGCAAGCTGGAGCAGCATGAGGCAAGCTCGACAAGCCCGCAAAGGGTGGGGGGGGGAGGCTAGGCTATGCATTTACGGGCTTTTCTCTGCTGCGCAAAAACCAAGTGAGGCAGGATCGAAGTCCCTCAAGCCCTCTCCCAAGCCCGAAACCATATGGGGAGTTCCTCCTTTGATCTTCAACCTGGAGCTTCCCAAGACACTGAGCCACTGAGCCCCTCCCCCGCTCCGTCTGAACCCAAGACGCTCTGCCCTGAACCCGAAACCCTAAACCCTCAACCCTCAACCCTCAACCCTCAACCCTAACCCCTAAACCCTAACCCTGAACCCTATATCTGCTCTGCAATCTTGGTGGGGGCGAGGGGGGCCTCCTTCGGTCGCGGCTACGACTCTTCTGCCTTGCTGCGGTCAACGGCAACATTTCGGGGTTTAGGGTTTAGGATCTAGGGTTTACGGGTTCACTAAACCCTAAACCGGGTTTAGGGTTTAGGGGGGTTTTTACGGGGTTTGGGGCAGACGTTCCTCTTCGTTCCTCGGCACTTGGGATGTTTCAGGTTTTGGTTCTTGGGAGCCGAGCCGATCGTTTAGGGCTCGGGTTTCTGGGGCTTAAGGGTTGGGGTATTTTGTGTTTAGGTCACAGCCAACCCCTAGCTCTAAAAACCCCTGAATAGGCAAACTATACCAAGAAAATGGCCAGCTCCAATTACATACGCCCCCTGTTTTGTCACACACCGTGCAAACCTGGAGCGCCTTTGACATGGGTAGCCCAGAGACCATATTACAATAACGGCACCCTTTTTTTGGGGTTGTTACTTTACAAGGGAACCCGGAACCCAAAAGAAAAGAGGGTAAAGAAAAACAGGGTGCCGCATGGCGTACCAAGTTGATGTGAGCTGACGTGAAGCCACCGGAACCAGACCTAGGAGTAACCTGGGAATTAAACAGGGGAACCCTCCTTGGTTTCAAGGGGACGATAAGGGAACCCCAACCCTAAAAAAAGGAAGTAAGGGCCCACTCCAGGTCCTCGAAAATCTGTGGGCGCCGGGCGCGGAGAAGATGTCTCGGCTCGTGAGGTCCAGCGCAGCCTCGAGAGGGCCAGGTTGCCAACCACATGCGAACCAGGAACCCTTCCTCCTCCTCAAAAAAAAGATTCTACTTCGAACATCCCCACCTCTCTTGATAAAGATACTCTGGGGTTGGGCACTCCAGGGATACTCTGGGGCTGGGCACTCCGGGGACACTCTGGCGTTCACTCCAGGTTCGGCACTGCAGGGAGACTGGAGCTGGGCACTCCAGGGACACTCTCTGAGACTCTGCTGGCAGGGACACTCCAGGAAGACTGTGGGGTTGGGCACTCCGGGAGACTCTGGGGCTGGGAATCCGGGAACATTCCAGGAGACTCTGGGCTGGCACTCTGGGGACACTCTGGGGTTGGGCGCTCCAGGGAGAGTCTGGGTGGGCACTCCAAGGATACTTTGGGGTTGGGCACTCCGATGAATGAGGAGTAGACCGGGCGAGGAGAAGAGTTTCGGGCGAGGAGAAGAGTTCCGGGCAAGGAGAAGAGTTGAGTTTAAAATCTAACAACCCCACACCGAGGGTGGGGAAAAAGGAGTTTATATCATTGGAATGGGTGTTTGGGTCGTTTGTAAAGAAGGAGTGTATCCCGTCAAGCCTTGAAAGTCGAGGAGGACAGTCGGGACACAAAGCAGCAGCCGGGCAGCTCTCTATTTGATGGTCCCTATACGCGCAGGTGATGGTCCCAATACGCGCGTCTCCTGATACAAAGCACCTTGAAACCCTTCAAAGCAGCCCAAGCCCGAAACCCCAAGCCCTATAACCCTCTCAACCCCAAGCCCCAAAAGCCCGACCTCTCCAAGTCTCTACCGGAAATATCCGGAAATGCGGGTGTTTACGATATTCGGGGTACCTTCTTGGGGTCCTTACCATAAGGGGATCCTACTACTTGAGGTCTATTTTAGGGGCCCCCTAAACCCTAAACCCTAAACCCTTAACCGCTTAAACCCTAAACCCTAAACCCCCGCATCATACCCCAGCCTCGCTGCGACCGGCCGCAGGGGGCGCCGCCGGGGGGGGCGCGGAGCGCGAGGAGCCCTTCCACCTCGTTTTTAGGGGGTTTAGGGTTTAGGGTTTAGGGTTTAGGGTTTAGGGTTTAGGGTTTAGGGTTTAGGGTTTAGGGTTTAGGGTTTAGGGTTTAGGGTTTAGGGTTGTTGTAGGGTTCTTAAGGGAGTTGGGTTTTTTTGGGGGAGGAGCGGATTCAATCCAACAGACTCTATCTCTCTATCTGTCTATCTATATGTATGTATATACACGCTATATATATATATATATATATATTACAATAGATTATGATATATATATATAGAACTTAAGCATTAGAAACAAATGAGAAAAACATGTATATATGCATATATATATATATACATATATACATATACATATACATATACATATATATATATATACATTCATGCATAAGACTACAATCCCCATTGAGTGGGAAGAATTGACCGACTCTCGTGCGCTTCCACTGAAGAATGGGGGCCCTGGCTCGCCCTTGAGGATCATGCCGTCCAGCCAAACCTCACTGCGGCCATGGGTTTCGGGTTTAGGGTTTAGGGTTTAGGGTTTAGGGTTTAGGGTTTAGGGTTTAGGGTTTAGGTTCAGGGTTTAGGGTTTAGGGTTTAGGGTTTAGGGTTTAGGGTTTAGGGTTGAGGGTTTCGGGTTTAGGGTTTGGGGTCTAGGTTTAGGGGGGTTCCTTTGGGGTTTAGGGTTCAGGGTTGGGGTGTTCCCCGCTATACGAAGAGCCCTTAGTAGGGACTATCTTGGGGGGCGCGAGAATCCCTACTAGGGCCTGTTCGTATAAGGGGTGAACATCCCAAGCTAAGGATTTTGGGGTACCTCATATAGGGCACGTTCCCTTGCTGAACCCTAAACCCTGTTAAACCCTACGACACCCTGCGAAACCGTATTGAAAACGAGGAAGCTCATGGACAACTGCCAGAGATTCCGAAACTCGGCAAAAGTTCCGGCTGCTTGAGAGTCAGAGGCGTTGTTTGCCTGTGTCTCTGGCAGTGAAGCACACGGGGTTCGCGAATCAAGGGTTCTTGGGTTCCTCCTTGGGCGTCTAGGGCTTTGTTCGGGCTTCGGAGCCACGGTCTCTCCCCACAATGTCTTTCTACTCCTTTGTCCTCTCGCTCCTCTTTCTTTCTCAGAATCCGCAATCTGGTTGCCCTTTGAAGCCCCATCCTCACCCCATCATACCCATCTTGAACACGTGGTGCTGAATGTGCTTGGATCACCTTCGCGTAATCTTGTACACATAACATGTGCGGAGACCCTTCCGAAGATTGTCTGATTCAAACACCCAAGTTGCATGGAGAATTCAACCACCGCTGAAGGTAATGTAGGGGCAGTATACCCCGCCATACGACGATTATACATTGTGTGTTGTATGTAATGCACTATATATCATATCTATATATATATATATATATATATAGATATCATATATCATATATCATATATCATATATCATATATCATATATCATATATCATATACCATATAGCATATATCATATATTATATATCATATATCATATATCATATATCATATATCATGTATCATATGTCATATGTCATATATCATGTATCATATGTCATATGTCATATATCATATATCATACCAAACATATATATATATATATGTATATAGATATATATATATATATGTATATATATACAGAGATATATATATATATATGTATATGCATATATACGAACATATTATACATTATCTAGTATGATATTACATACTACATGTTCTATCTAGATTACTCTATTCGAGTGCTATGCGGGGAGGGGATAATATGGGAGACTACTTGGGATCCTGCATGGCCCGGTCCTTCCCAAAAGCTCCGCGGGCCTGCCCAGCCTTCAGCGCATCCAGCGCCGTTTGGGCGAGCTCCTGGAATCCGGGGAAATGTGCTATTTGGGATTTAGGGTTTAGGGTTTAGGGCTGCCTTCGCAAAGCACAACTGACGCCTTGCAAACCCACAGGCCCATCATCAAGTGCACGGCTCCTGCGACTTATACCGCACGATGGGATGATCCACACCTTCCAACGAGCTGGAAAACTAAAGCTGTTGCTGCTGACATGGGCAACGGTGGCGAGTTCCCTTGTCGCGCGCCTCGTGCTCCCATGTGGCAGCCGACCACCTGCACGTTCTTTTGGGTCATGGAAGGTCATGGGCCTAGTTGACGCATGCTGACGATGTGGTATACTACTGTAATGCTATCGTATTCGTTGCCTATGTTGTATATGTGTACACGTATGTGTGTATATACAGATGTGCATGTTATGTGTTATACTGTTAGACTGTTATACTCTTATACTGTCATACCGTGATACTGATATACTGTTGTAGCTCCATGTGGCCACGCCCCTAATTTTCAAAACCCTGCAATGGACTATGCACAAACGTACCTGCAAGGTCCGTTTTGGGTGAAATGGGAGGTTGGGACGGGGTCAACCTAAGAGCCAGAACTGGCGTGGCAAAGGCTTCGGGGTTTGGGGTTCAGGGGTTTTGGGGGTTTGAGGGGGTTTGGGGAGGTTTCGGAGGAGGTTTGGGGAGTTTGTGGTCCTTCCCCCGCACCCCCCACCCCCCCAAATGCCTCACCGAACTGCTCCATGGCTTTCTTGAGGCTCAGGCGGCTGGACTGCTCCGAGATGCCTCTTTTGGGGGGTTTCGGGTTTAGGTTTAGGGTTTAAAGGGTTTGGGGCTTTGGGTCTATAGGGGTTTACAGGGTTTGGGGTTTAGGGTTTAGGGTTCGGGGGTTTGGGGGTTTAGGGTTTGGGGTGCAGGGCGAGGGTCTAAGGGCGAAGCATGGCGAAACGCTAAACCTTCAACACTCTGCATCGTCTGTGCTGGCGGACCGTGGATCTCAATGGCGGCAGAGGACATGGCTGCACCGAGGCAACCTGGGCACTTCAGCTCTGGTCGTCAAGAGTATTTAGGGTTTAGGGTTTCGGGTTTCGGGTCTAGGGTTTAGGGTTCAGGGTTTAGGGTTTCGGGTTTGGGTTTCGGGTTGGGGGTTTAGGGTTTAGGGTTTAGGGTTTACAAGAGTAATCCCGTCCCCCCAATAGTGAACCCCCCCCCCTATCCCCTAATACTAAATACCCCCATATACTACAAGGGGTTAGGGAGGGTTTAAGATCAGGGGAGGGGATTATGCCACAAAGAACCGACATGCCGATGGGTTCGCGGCGAAGCTAGGAAGCCGAATCTTAACCTCGCAGCCGTGTGGGCTTGTGGTCGCGCGCGCGCTGCAAATTTCACCCTTTGAGAATAAGAGCGTCGCGCACTCCACTACAGCAGTGTGCTCTCTACTTCTTGTGCAGCGCTCTTGAGAGGGCGCCGGGTGTGGCCCCGGATCGTTTAGGGTTTAGGGTTTAGGGATTTAGGGTTTAAGCTCAGGGTGGTTTTAAACCAGGCTGCCTTTTCTTTCTTGAGGTGCCATTCCAAAAAACCTACAAGGGGCTTCCTACTTCAAAAACAACCTTCAACTCCCCAACTATCAGCTACGCATCCAGGGCGCAGACTGCCTGTCAAACTGGGCGGATTGCGCCAGGTTTGATGCCTAAATGATGGAACTACTCACTTGAAACTAGCTTCTCATCTAGAGGCATTAATGATGCGAAGTGCTTTCTACATGCCATGGAAGCGACATGCATAACGTCTTCAGAAGAACTGTTGGCTGCCTGCTGCGGATAGGGACGCTAGGCCCCTAGTCAGCTTCACCCACATGAGACTTGGATCCTACAAGTGTACCCCTGCTCTCTTGCCAGCCCTCTGTTCCATCACCCAAGAACTTGGAACTGTAATGCCTGCAGGGTGACCAAGGGATGAATGTGCTTTCGCCACGACACACATCATGAAACCATGCGGGCAGGACAGAAACGGGGGGTTCCGATATTCGGGGCGCCTTACTGAGGTCCTCACAAAAAGGGAAATCCTACTTTTTGGGGGACTAGATGTGAGGTCCCTTGTCTTCGTAAACCCCCAAACTGCTAAGCTTCAATGGCACCGACAGCACGACACTTCGCCGTGCAGGTCAACCTGCTTCGCGCGCACGCTTTTGCTTCACTCCACGCTTCCCTTCGTAGCTGGAGGTTGCTGGGGTTTAAGGTTTAGGGTTTAGGGTTTGGGGTTTAGGGTTTAGGGTTTAGGGTTCAGGGTTCAGGGTTGAGGGTCTTCGAGCGGGGGCCCGGCTCTTGGACTTCTTGGGATCGCAAGTGACAGGGATTCCGCTTTTTCGGTCACCGGCTTGGCTGCTCAGGGCCCCTCCCATGCCGCAGACATCTCAGACCTGCCATGCTGGGAAGCGCGGGGAGAAACTCGAGGCGACGTTTTTGGGAATCCTGCATCCTACACCCTAAGCACCAAACCCTAAACCCTAAACCCTACACCCAACACCCTACACCCTACACCCTAAACCCTAAACCCTAAACCCTAAACCCTAAACCCTAAACCCTAAACCCTAAACCAAACCCTAAACCCTAACTTTAAAACTCTAATCCGTAGTCCCTGCGAATCCTGAATCCCTACTGCGCAGACCCGAGATCCCCAAGTGAAGAAACAGAGGGAAGAGGAGGGAAAAATAAACTCCCGAAGCCCAAAACCCTGAACGAAAAAACGTTCGCCCTAACCCTCCATTAAGAGGGGTACAAAAAGCTCTCATGCAACACCTAAAAGTTTGGCACGAAACGAATGAAGGAAAGAATGCTGCGTAGTCAAGATGAAACCCGAAAAACCCAACCGCCAAACTCTGAGCCCCCACACAATCCCCAAATCCCCCCAAAACCCAAGTAATCCCCAAAAAAACCCCAAAAAAAACCCCCCCAAACCCCAAAAAAACCCAAGTAATAAACCCTATAAACCCCAAGTAAGTCGAGTCGGAGCACCCCAGGCGCGGCAAGGTTCTCCAATGCCAGGGCCGGCCTGGCAAAGGGCGGTTGGGCTTGGGGCTTCTTGGGTTGAGGGTTTAGGGTTTAGGGTTTAGGGTTTAGGGTTTAGGGTCTTGGGTTTTGGGTTTTGGGTTTTGGGTTTTGGGGTTGACTGTTGAGGGTTGATGGCTGAGGGCTGAGGGCTGAGCGTTTAGGGTGCAAGGATTTAGGGTTTAGGGTTTAGGGTTCGGAGACGTCCTGGATTCTTCTTCTCTGACTGGGCTTGATCGCGCTGCAGAACGCCAACAGTCAACGGCAGACTTTAGGGCTTAGGGCTACTACGGTCAGAGTAATCACCATGACGCAAGCTGTATACCTGCATCAGCGGAATCGTTACACAGCATATCAGCACGTACATAAACAGGACCCCACTCTTGGGCTCTTTTTCAGGATTCGAACAAATTACCACAATAAGGAAACTGCCTACCTTAGACCTGAAACCTTTAACCCTTACTAGTGCGCTAGAGCGCCGTGAACCCACAGCTTTGAACAGAGCACCTCTACCCTTCGTGTTGGGTTGAGGGTTGGTGGGTTGAGGGTTAAGTTCAGGATATGGGGTTTCAGCTTCTACGACAGCCTTCCAGTAGTCCTGACCTTAGCAATGCCCAGCCCGGCCCATAGCCTCATGCCGCCGTGGGGCGCTGCCTTAGTGAACTCTGTGGTTTAGGGTGCAGGGCGTAGACCTTCGGCACTTGTGTTGGCTTGGTTGAGTTTCCAGGGCATCCTAAGCCATAAGACATGGGAAGCAAGGCACGACGAAGCGTTGTAGATGATAAGGCGACCGCTCCCACCCCCTGACACCCCGTAATGACGATAGCCATGGGGCGAAGCCTAAGCCCACAAGCACCACGTCACCACGTGCTACATGCCCAAGCCCTAGCAACCCTCAAAAAAGATCACACCCCGCCCACCAGGAAGATGCAACCCCGTCGAAATGGGCCAAGATGCCATCAACGGCGTGGCAACCGTGGCCGGCGGCCCTGATCAACCCCAAAAAAAAGCAGCCCAAACCCCAGGAGACCCCTAAGGTGCAGGGAATGTGCAAATTTACCCTGACCTGATGCGGACTCCTTCACACGTCGAGTCTGGCTTGAAGGCATGGGGCCATTTAGGGTGGGGGGAAGGGATGTACCGGAGGCTTGCCGATGCTAGCCGCTTGCGCCTCCAGCAGGCAGTCCAGTCTGCGCAAATTGCCTCGGCAACTACACCGAAGGCGTTCTAGATGCTTCTCGAGTTTGTCGCTCGAATGATGCCTAGCAACTCCCAAAAAACCCTCTCCCTCATGCTGCAAAGGTCTTCGGCGCTGAAGAGAGCTCGTGTCTGGCCGCGGCAAGAAACCCACGAACCTGAGGAGGGAAATGACCCCCTGCACTTGTGCACTTTTCAGGCGGCTGCTCTGCAATGTCGGCGCCCGATGCCATGCTCCTGTCACCAACGGCAACCGGTGACAAAGCCCAACTTCGACAGAGAGAACCCCCGCAGCCCCAAGAGGTCCTCGAAAGGAAGGCCCCCGTAGGACCCTCCTGTCAGTGTGGGCTCCAAGAACACCAGGAGATGAAACGGTATTGAGCAGGGCTTAGGTTCTTGGGTTTTGTAGGTTTTTGTAGGACACTGGAGCTCGGTGGCTGCTTCTGACTGTATCATCACCTTTCGGGACACGCCTGGAACAGTCATGCCAGGTTGAACACCTGCAGAGCCTATTGTCCACCGCCCAGACAATCCCGAATGACGATCCTTGGGAATGTTCAGCAAGTAGCGAGGGTCGTCTTCGAAGTCTGCCAACAATTTCCTCGCAGTCACACAAACGGCAGCATTTTGCAGTACGCAAGGCATTATACATATGATAAACTCCATCTATATATGTATATGTACATGCAACTGCAGTTCATTGTGCAGGATGGGCCATGAATTTCCTGGGACCCTGGCTGCGTTGCGAAGAGGAACTGAAGGAAGAAGAGCAGGCACAGCGGGGAGAGCAGCGCAAAGAAAGCGCGTTCCTTGGGACATCCCCAAACCACATTGCTCCGGCGTATCTTGGGAAAAGCTCGGATTGACCTCAAGTCCCGATCCCAGCACTCTGTAGCATCACACACGCACCAAAATCTCGAGTCAGAGCAGTGTAGTTGCGTTTAGGCTTTCGAGATTGGGGTTCCATTTTTGGCTACCCGTTGTGGTGCAGCAGCTTGTTTGCGGGCTTGGGGATCCTGACCCACCGTTGAGGGTTTAGGGCTGAGGGTTTCGGGCATAGGGTTTAGGGTTTAGGGCTTCAGGAACCCCAAACTCTGGACCTTGAAACCCCAAACCCTCAACCCTAAACGCCGCACAAAAACAGAGGGTGTGGGACGAGGTCCCGGCGTCATCGCAGCTCCCATCCGCGGCGATGTTGAGAACGGCCTCCACTTGGAGGTTCATGGTACTTATGTGCCCCTTAAGTGCCCTAAGTGGGTTATGAGTACAGTTGTAAGTACAGTTGTAATTGGTTTGTAAGTACCATGAACCTCCAAGCACTCGCGGCTCCAGAGGCATTGTCGGCTTTGGGGAGCTTCATAGTGAGCTTGTTCTGCTTCTCGAGTCTCCAGACTGAAGGTCACGGGCTCATGGAAGTAACATCCAACATCATAATGAAAAAAACTCCAACATAATACGCAATACCGAAAAGAGGCAGGTGTGAAAGAAAGCCCCTACTGTCAGCTGCGTGGAGGCGTCGCTATGGCCTTATAGTACTTTTCGGGTTTTCTGAACATTGCTGCTCTCTAAACCCTAAACCCTAAACCCTAAACCCTAAACTCTAAACCCTAAACCCTAAACCCTAAACCCTAACCTGGGAACCCCTGGTGCAACAAAAACCCAGGCCAACCTGGGCTTAGGGCCTATGAGTACTAAGAAATCACGCCCATAAAGCCTCATCAAAAACGAAAAACATGCATGCCGTTCTCACCAGAAACAAGGAGAAGAACAGGAATTTACTAGTCTCACTGAAAGCAAAGAAGGAGAAGAATAAGCATAAACTACTCTCACCAAAAAGAAGGAAGGAGAACAATCAGAATCATAAGGGCAAGAGCAAGAATAAGGAGTCGCTCCTTGTTGGGGCCAAACCTGGCCACGAAAGCGCTGGGGTCGTCTCGCCCCAGCCTGGGTGCTGCCATGAGCGTATTGCCAAACTGTTGGGGTTTTAGGAGTTTGGGGATTTAGGAGTTTGGGGTTTGGGGTTTAGGGTTTGGGGTTTAGGGTTTAGGGTAAAGGGTGTAGGGTGTAGGGTGTCGGGTGTAGGGTGTAGGGTGTAGGGTGTAGGGTCAGGTTTGGGGGTTTCGGGCTTGGGGATTGGGATTTTCCCCCGTAGACGAACAGTCCTCAATGGGGATTATAATTGGGGGAGGGGCGGGAGAACATTTAAAGTTCAGGGCTTTGGGGAGTTTAAAGGCCTAGGGTTCAGGGTTTAGGGTTTAGGGTTTGGGGTTTGGGGGCTTGGGGAGTTTAAGGGTTTGGGTAGCTTGGGTTTAGGGAGTCGAGTGTCGTACTAACCGGGTTTACGATGAGAGCTTGAAAAAATGATTAGTAAGATCCCCTTTTATTGCCCACGAAGTTGTGCAAATCTCCTCAGGCCACAAAATGTCGGTGTGGCTCGTGGGAAACATGTGGCGCGCAGACTCGAAGTCAACAAGTCCCGCACCACCCAAGTCACCAGGTAAAACAACCTGCGAACCGCGAAATGTACTCTTGAGAGGTTGCGACTGTGAGGCTGACCTTGTTTAGGGTTCGGGGGTCTAGGGTTTAAGGTCCAGGGTTCCTGTGAATCTTGCTCCCGGGACTCTGAACATCAGATGACACTCAGCCGCGCGCTCGCAGTTTACAAGGAGGGGCGCCTCAGAAGTTGACGTCGACAGAAGGCCGCGAGGGCAACAGGGATTTCAGGGCTTGAGATTTAAGGTTTAGGCTTCCGGTCTATTTAGGGCTTAAGGCCTAGGGTTTCATCCAAGTTTAGGACTAAAGGCTTTGCTTTTTGGGCTCTTTCTGCCTTCTTTGCCATGCCAGGGGGCATCAAGGAGGTATGTCAGCAGCCAGGCAGCCACACGAGCCACCTTCCACAGGGAGCCAGCAGGCCATGGGAAAAGTATGCGGGGTTTAGGGAAAAAAGGGAATCTAACTAGCACAGAGGCCCCAAAACTGCCCATGATTCAAAACACACCCCAATGTACGTCCTAAAAGAACTTGACTGATGAGAAAGATCCCGGGAGCTACCAGCAACTCGGGTTGTGTGCCAAGTCTGCTAAACAGTCTCAACCCCCTGAAAAAATCCCTAACCCTTAGCCCACACACCCCTTGAACCCCTAAAAGCCCTAAACATGAATCTCCGGGAAAGGGTTGAACCCCTCAAAACACCAAACACGAATCTCCGGTAACAAAGGGCTGGAGCAGCTCCCAACATGAGGGGTTTACCTTACTGAAATCCTCATTGTAAGGGCATGCTACTCTTTGGGGGGTCTATATTCAGGGCCCCCTAGTTTCGCACACTCCCACCATGGCGCCTCGTAGTAGAAGAAAGCACGGAGGAAGCTCTCCTCGCGCCGAAGGTGGCCATAGGGGGCTTGGGGGACCCATGAGTTCCGGGTTCCGTACATGGGATACCCTAAACCCTTAATCCTAAACCCTAAACCCTAAACCCTTAATCCTAAACCCTAAACCCTAAACCCTAAACCCCAAACCCTGAACAACAAGCTGCGAGCCTTCATGTACAGGGCACCCATGGCCCCCAGGAAGCCCCAGACAACTGCCTGAGCAGATTGGGCTTGGACTTCAGATGCTGGGCCATGTAAGCTTGAGCGGCAGCGGGCATGCCGTTTGCAATCGATCCTATACGTCCTAGAGCGCAAGGGGCTTCTTTAGGTTTCGGGACTTGGGAGTTAGGACTTCGGCATTTCTCAGTGCTTAGGGCTTAAAGGGTTTCAACGTTTGAGAGGTTAGAGGTTGGGGTCAGACGAGCCTGCCAAGGGCAGGCGACGCAAAATCAACAGCCCCCCCCGCCACCGGACGATCCCCTCACCACCCCAATGCAGGAATAACATAAACTACACTACATACCCCCTCAACACAACTCGGGCCCCTGTATTGAGCCCAAATAGTTTACCAGAATGCGGAGCCCCGAACACAAACCCCCAAATAGCGCGATTCCCTTGGAATAAGGACCCCAATGAGGTACCCCTAAACCCTAAACCCTAAACCCTAAACCCTAAACCCTAAACCCTAAACCCTAAACCCGGAAACCGCCCTTCCATGAACGCCAGACGAAAATTCCGAAGCTCCAAAGGACTCCGAGCTCCGGGCTGACAGCTCAAGGATGTCGATCCTGGTTTGGGGTTTGGGGGCGGAAGGGTTTAGGGTTTAGGGTTTAGGGTTTAGGGTTTAGGGTTTAGGGTTTAGGGTTTAGGGTTTAGGGTTTAGGGTTTTAGGGTTTAGGGTTGAGGGTTTAGGGTCTAAGGTTTAGGGATACTTTGTGTAGCTTCAGTCGTGAATTGAATGACGATTCTAAGGGGTAGCGCTGTTGGGTATCTTGAATCGCTTAGTTGGGACGATAAAGATAAGAGGAATAAGGGAATGATATTGGTGGGTATTTTGAGAAGCATATATGAATGGTGGTGCTGAAGTAGTCCTGTACATTTTGATTGTGCGTATTGATGTTTACTTAGGCTGAGAAGAAAGGTTGGTGAGGTCATACGCTTCCTGAAACTCAAAAGGAAGCGTAGCGGGCATGACTTACGGCACGGCGCGACACCGAGCGACTTCACTTCCCAAAGCCTCCAATCCTTTGCAGCACCATCAAAGCAACAAAATCTGCCAAGGAAGAGGAGAGATCCAACTCGCCACCCCAAATGAGCATGCTTTCAAGGGTGCCGTCCCACACATTGGTCATGCTGCAACCCACACCGTAGATGCACGGAGTAGAGAATGAGATATGCTGCAACCGAACTAACACAAAGGAAGAGCATCTCTTTGCAACCAACTCTTCTTGAACTTCGGGCAATATTCGCACGAAGTTAAAGCGATGCCACAAGCACACACGTAAAGATGCCAAGCTGCAGCGCCCGGCTCCAGTCCGAGTAGCCGCCCACAAAGGCCCGGCGATCCTGCCGCGTCGCAACTTCTTCTTGCCAACGTGCCCCCAGAAACTGCAACTGCGAAACAAAGGTCCTAAAAGGTACTCTCCGCAAAAGGCCAGGATTTGAGGCAGCGAAGCATTGGGGGGGGGGGTCCTCCTCCACCGCCTGGGGCCAGCGCAGCAGAAAGAGGCCTAGCGCCACGCAGCCTTGGCTCACGCCGGCCGCGGCTTCGTCTCTTCTCACTTTGCGCCTATGACCCATCGCTCATGTGCGCAAGGTGCAAGACACGCACAGCAAAAAAAAGCGCTGGGCTGCCGGGCTAAGCCCTCCCAGAAACACGGTGGTGCGCACTGGCACACCTGGGCTCTGGCCGCGAACCCTTGAAGTCCTCGACTCTCTGGGTGGCTTCCCCTCATCATGATTCAAAGAAGTACTCATCAGAACCCTCAGAACCAGAGACCCTAAACCCTAAACCCTAAACCCTAAAACCACAATAAACTACCCTTTCATGACTGAGGCACACATGAAGGCCATCGGATGCAGGCCAACCCAGCCTGGAGGAAGGCGGAGGTTCGTTTCAAGGGGTCTTTGGAGGGATTTCTTAGGGTCTTTGGGTTTTTGGAGGAACTTTGGGGCGTTTAGGGTACTTGAACGACTTTGGAGTTCTTAATGTGTTGTGGGTTCTTGGGGATGTTTAGGGTTCGTCTTGACTCAGGACTTTTTGGGTTTCTGGGGTTGCTCAATTTTGGAGTTGCGAGGTCTTCAGAGCTTTCGGCATAAGAACCGTAATCACCATCATAACGACAGCAACCATAACGAGCATAAGAACCACAACCATAGCAATCAAAGTAACCGTCGTGACGATGATCTATAACAGTATAGAGCCCACCCGGAAGCTACGGAAGTTGCCACATGAAACAGCTGTGTCTGTCACATTTGCCGGAACCTGCGCATCTTCACGCCCAAGCTCTGAGCCCTACAAATTTCGGAGCCGTGAAGACCCTTGAGTCCCCTGAAGATGCCCCCAAAGCTGCGAGGCACCCGAGGCTTGATAGGCCTTAGGAGGAGTCTCATAATAGCCCTGAAACCCTAAACCCTACTAAACCCTAGACCCTGGCCATCATGCCATAACCACCGTAGCAATCGAAAGGTAAGCTGGCGGGGTTGCTATAAGAGCACAAAAAACCCTTCTGCGGCCCAGGCCATTGGCTTCGAGGCCGGCGGACTTGCGGGAGAGCCTTGGCCCAAGTCAGATATATATACTCTCCCCCACCCCCCATCACCCCAACCCCCCCCCCCCTTTGACATGATCCACACATTTCCAGACCCCAGATTTCCAGAATGAATCTGGAGTACCGAGGCCTCGAACTCCAGAATCTGGAGTCCGTAATCTGGAGTCGGGGTCCGGGGCCCGGTACTCCAGATTCACTCTGGTAATCTGGAGTCTGGAGCATAGGGTCCCGGTTCTCCAGATTCATTCTACCAATCTGGGGTCGAGGTAGTCCAGATCTCAGATCCCTGATTCTGACTAAGTACTTGCCGTCTTAAACAGGAATTCGTTATCGGGTTCAGTCGTATCTATATAATGAGACTTGTGATGCGAAAATACCAGTTTCAGGCATATTCTATCCCCTCAAAGAAGCAGAACCTGATCTCCTCGTTATGCTTTATCCACAATATCCTCTCTTAAGCGAAGCCTCCCAACAAGCAAAGCAATGCACGTCATACCCGAAAAGCAAAACTTGAAACATGAGAGTTATTTCAAAAAAGGGCTTCTCTTATATATTGTCTTGGGATTTCGCCCTCCCCCCCCCCCTCCCCACCCCCACCCATAAGCAGCGCAGGAAACAATGAATACTGACTATAGTGGTAAAACTGAATTTGATGCGCATAGTATACTGGGCTTGATGCCCCCAAAATTAAACCTAAGGTATGAGTGTTGTTTTTCCTTTGTGGTGTATCTACTAGCATTGTCTTGGGATTCCCCCTTCCAATAAGCAGCGTAGAGCCTGACATGTTGTCTCGGCTTTTCGTTTGATGTCAAGAATAACGGCCTCTTTCCCTTGCCGATACCAACGGTTCTACCGGCAATTTCAATAAATGGCACCAAGACCTGGAGAAGAAACCACGGGCTTCATTGAGTTTAGCGTTTAAGGTTTCGGGTTTAGGGCTTAGGGTCGAGGGCTCCTCTGCCGACGCTCAAGATACCTCGTGAATAGACCTGCCAAACTTGCGCCTCACTGTCCTCAGCTCCGAGCGCTCCCCCCATGTCCGTGGGCCTTGGGACCTCATGAGGCTCAGCAAAAAAGAAGGGGTTTGGGTTCAGGGTTTAGGGATTGTTTAGGGTTTAGGGAAAGCTGGCTGGGGGCGCTCGAGGGTCGTTTTGGGGTCTTGGGCCACCTGCTGAACACTTCTCCGATCGGGCTTGCTAGTTGCTTCACATCGACAAGCGTCGACGCTGAAGAACCACACAAGGGCTGAAACCCAAACCTTTTGAACAGTGGGACCGTCACCCGGCAAAGCCCCAGAACCCTATGACAACTCCAGCCCGAAACCCCGTCAAAGTCGTACAACCCTGAACCGCATCAGGTGTCACCTCACCCTAAACCTCTGAGAACCCTAACCGGATGATGCTTGTCAGGTGTACCGGAGGCCTACCACCTGGGCAGCCACAAAATGACCTGAACGTCTCCTAACGTCGTGTGCAGAAGGGCGCATGTTACGCACACTTCAACCTGACAGAGCCTGCACAAAAACAGTGTGTGAGTGACCTGCAACATGTCGAAGTAAACCCTAAACCCCAAAACCCCAAACCCTACACCCTAAACCTCATTCATCAGGCGAACCCCAAATCATCAGCACAGCCGCTTCGTTGTGCTCCGCTGGAGGGCAGAGCTAACGATGCCCAGAGCCGAATGGCGAGGAGGCGACTTGAGGGTGAGGGTGGGTGCAGGGTTTAGGGCCTTTAGGGTTTAGGGCTTAGAGTGGGCAACTCCTGAGACGAAATGGACAACAATGGAATGGAACCCATGTTCTTGAACTGGCACCTCTTTAGCCTGCAAAGGCAAAGATCAGCAAGACATGACATCCGAAGTGCAGCCAAGGCTTGTCCACTAGGGCATAGCCGATGACTACTTTTCGCTCTCGCTCGAAGCCACGTGGAATGTTTCAAAAGCATCAACAACCCTCGTGCAGGAGCGTCTTCGGGGATCCTGTCTGCGCCCTGCAGCTCGAGCTACACTTACGGCTTACTTCTACTTGCTATTCCGGGCAACGATTTATTGAATTGTCCGCTGCTACATGCCTCTTTCTCCAATCTGTGCGTGGCTGCACGAATGGAACGGGGAGATGTCCCTCCCTACTTGTATCGTATTCTACCGCATTCGACCTGGAGCCCTCCAACTCTGATGCCTCCACTACACGTGCAAAGCTTGGTGTTTTGAGAGCTTTTTTTGGGGTGTCAACCCCTGAAGCTTCGTTTCCCAATCCAGAATTTAGAGTATTACATAGCACTGTGAACAGCGTACCTCTTCTGCAAGGCCTCGGATGGTGAGACTTTGCTCACTGCTGGCAACTTCACATCGAAAAACGCCCTTCCCTACCCCCAACTATTCGCATGTGGACACCTCTTCTCAAACATGCTACAGCCCTCTAGTGACTCTAGTCGGGCAATTTTTAGTAGGATCTGGCTTTGCCTCGCGTTCCTAGCAGACCCGAACCCAACAAACAAGACCGTGCAGATAAGTTTCTGAACCCTCTAGAAACCATCCCCCACCCGAAACCCTAAACCCTAAAACCCTAAACCCTAAACCCAAAAAACACCACTTCGCGTCTCAAAGGGAAGCTGCGGGAAAGCCGCGGATGCCTCCCGGCATTGCAGAAGCGCAGGGTTTAGGTCGGCCTAGGGTTGAAGGCTTTGGGGGTTTAGGGTTTAGGGTTTGGGGTTTAGGGTTTAGGGTTTAGGGTTTCGGGTTTAGGGCTTTAGGGTTTCAGGGTTTTGGGGTTTGGGGTTAGGGTTTCGGGCTTAGGGTTGAGGGGTCAAAGGGTTTGGGGTTAGGGGTTTGGGGTTCAGAGGGGTTTAGGGTAAACGGCACGGCGACATGAAATCTCAGCCATGCAAGTGGGGCAGTTGAGCCTGAAGTCTCCTAGACGAACCCTCAAACCCTCAAAACCCTCAAACCCTCAAACCGACAAACCCTCCCTTGCAACTCTGGGCCACCGACATCCACTTCAAAAAACACCAAAACCCCCCAAGCCCTAAACCTGAAACCCAGATTCAGCCAAAGCCTACAAGAACTTTTTCTTCACAAGGGGTGGGGGAGCTCTCTAAGGGCAATCACACAGCCGGATGAGGCCACAAGTGGAAGCCCCAAACCCAGCGAAGCAGGCTTCAGGCTTCAGGCTTCAGGCTTCAGGGTTCAGGGTTCAAGGTTTAGGGTTCAGGCTTCAGGGTTCAAGGTTTAGGGTTCAGGCTTCAGGGTTCAAGGTTTAGGGTTCAGGGTTTAGGGTTTAGGGTTTAGGGTTCAGGGTTTAGGGGTCAGGGTTTAAGGGTTTAAGGGTCTAGGGGTTGGGTTTTCGGGCTTAGCACATCCAGGCCAAGATCTGTAGCAAAGTCGGAGCTACAATTGCCTGCGCAGCAAGCGGGTCCTTCCAACCCTGTTCAGGGTTCGCGGGCTACTCTTTTCGCGCTGCTGATCAGATTTGCCGCCAGCTGTGCTGTCGTTTCTCGGTGCAAGGAAGAGGAGGAATAAGAACTTTCTTCATGATTGCGATCGCAAGCTTCACGAACACTGAACCGGGTAACTGAACCGGATAATTCAGGGAAGCGAGATCCTGCGAGGTAGGCCTCGGGCTTGAGGGTCAGGGCCTGCTTCTCCAGAGACAGTGAGATTTCGATCCAGCCGGAGCCCGGAGAGGCGTCGACAGCTCGCAGTCTGGCTGAAGTGGGCCAAGGCTGCCGGAAGGCCACAGGGAACTGCAAGAGCCAACAACACCCAGACTCAAAACAGCTGGGCCCGCACGTCGAAGACTCCAGGATCGCGTGGTGTCGCATCTTCATCGTCTCCGGTGCCCCACAAAAAAAGGGCAGCCTGTCAGCCTGTAAGGTAAGGTGTCCTTGTGGCCTCCGCAAACAGAGGAGCTCTCCAGGGAGCTCTCCGCGACTTGGGCTTCCCACGGAATTCAGGAGCATGGGCGTGAACCCTCGCAGACCCGCTCCTTCTCAAGTAGCCCCAAACTATACTTATAGCCAGATGAACACGTCAGGCTCATAAGGATCATCCTTTGGCTACACTCCAAAGCTGCCGTCGTTGGGCAGCCCCCGGTTTCCGACGCAACAACAAGGTGATACTAGCCCAGCCGAGGATCAAGAGAGCTCGACCCTCTTCCCTCACGCCGCGTGCCTCCGAGACGCCGAGACCAAGCGTGCGCACCGCCCGTGGCACCAGGAGAGGCTCACAAGGCTCCAGGCTCCCCAGAATTCGGATTCTGAGAGCGGCCTCAAGGAGGCTTCAGCCAGTACTCGGCTCCTGCTCCTGAAGCGTCTGGCTATACCTTACTGCCGGAGCTCGGGTTTGGAAAAGACCCGTGCTCTCTTTGGACGTTGCATGAGAACCAGGCTTAGGGGGGATCCCCATCACGATTTTGCATGTTTACCCCAGAAGCAATACCTACCCTAATTCCCCCCCACTCCCCTGCTTACCAGGCACCATTAACAGCAAACCCCCCCAAACCCTACACCGTAAATAAACCTTAAATCCCGAAATCCCTAAACCCTAAATCCCTGAACCCTAAACCCCAAACCCTAAATCCGTAAACCCAAAAGCCCCCCCCCCCCCGAAAAAAAAAAAAAAACTCTCGAAGGTGCCGGAAGCCCTGCCGGGCAAAGCTGTCCCTGGCCACATGCACGAGGTCCTGCACGCCGCACCAAACTTCTTTAATTTCAGCATCCCAAGGTCTAGGGTTTAGGGTTTAGGGTTTAGGGTTTAGGGTTTAGGGTTTAGGGTTTAGGGTTTAGGGTTTAGGGTTTAGGGTTTTTTAGGGTTTCTAGCCTACTTAAACCATCGAAAAGGGGGATGACTTTTCTGGGCTCCTGGCCCGAGGCCTTAAATGCCGCAGGTTGCCATACCCAGGCAGCTCGGATACTCGCCCTTACTCCCCGACCCAGAACCTCCTAAGACCCGAGAAACCCTAAGCCCCAAACCCTCAAACCCCCAAACCCCCAAACTCCCAAGCCCCCAAAACCCCCAAACCCCCAAACCCTAAACCCCAAACCCTAAAGTTTCGTTTCTGTCCCTCCATAAGGCCTCAATCTCCCTCAGGAAAAAAGCTCCCCTTTGCTCAGAGTCCTCCTCATCCGGATCAGGGGCGGACGCCAATTCCGCCAGGACCTCGAGTGGCTTGTCGCTTGAAGCGACGATGGCATCCAGCGCCTCCCAGCTGGCTCTTGGGCTTCTAGGGTTTAGGGTTTAGGGTTTAGGGTTTAGGGTTTAGGGTTTAGGGTTTAGGGTTTAGGGTTAGGGTTTAGGGTTTAGGGCTTAGGGCTTAGGGCTTAGGGTTTAGGGTTTAGGGTTTTGGGCGTTCAATGACTAAGGGATTAAGGGTGTTGGGCTCCGGGTTTAACAGTTTCGTGTGATCACCAGAGCTATACCTACCATCTTCCTACGAATCAAGAAGAAGTAAAAACAAACATTATCAGGAAGAAATGTTGGGATTTATGGGGTTTACAGGGTGCGGTTTGTGAAGGGGGAGGGGAAGTAGGATCTTGGGGGGCTTAATGGGGGGCTAAGGGTCTTTTTGGGCGGTGCGGGCTCTTAAAGGTTCAGGGTCTCAAGGGCTTGGGTTTGGGGATGTTTAGGGCTTAGGGTTTAGGGTCTAAGTCTGGAGGGGTGTAGCCGGGGAGGAGCTAATCACAACAATTCTGACTATTGTCACCACTAGCAACAATCTCGAGAATGCTGGGTTTTTGCTGGAAGGAACAACAATCTCAAATAAGCGGTTGTGGGTGGTAAGAGGGAGCTCTCTAAACGGTGGGCCCTGTTTGGGCCTACTAAGATCGGAATCCCAAAGTGGACCATCACTTAGAGAATCTCCGAAGAATAAGTCACACCACAAAAAAATCCTAAACCCTAAGCCCTTGGATACAACACGAACAGGCCAGCCAACGACATCGTCATGTTTATCTCCCGTCGGGGCTGCCTCCTGCATTTGAGGCCACGCCTCCCGAAAGAAATCCTCGGAGGGTTTAGGGTTTAGGGCTTAGGGCTGAGAGTTTAGGGTTTAGGGTTTAGGGTTTAGGGTTTGGGCCGTTGGACAGTAGAAACAAGTTCACATTCGAACGTATGGCAGTGGGTTGGAGGGCTTCCGGGAATGCTGTTGTACCAGTAGCCCTAAACCCTAAACCCTAAACCCCTAAACCCTAAACCCTAAACCCGCAGGAGCTTTCAGAGCGTTGTCTTAAAATCCGTCTGAGTCGGGAGGAAACTGATGCTAGTCGTCTCAACCTCATGCCCTCACGCCATGTCAAAACGAATGTGGTGACATGAAATATCACCAACAGTAGCAGTTTGGGATGTTCCTCCTTATGCCAACAGTCCTTCATAGGGATTATAGTTTCCCCCCCCCCATATTCTCCAAACCCACCCCCCAAGTTTCTCTTTTGGGGCGACAATCAGAGCCAGGACAATAATCTCCAGGTTCTCCTGTAGGATATTTCTCATGGAGAAGAATCCCGGGATTGGCTCAGAGAAGACGGCCCGTGAAGCTCCTTTGCAACACCACAAACCCCAAAAAAACAAAAACCAAAAACCCAAAAGCCCAAAAAAACACAGCCCAAAACACCAAAACAAAAACAAGGCAACAACATCTAAGACTAAAACACGCGCACACACACACACACACTTTTGCTGACAACCCGAAAGGGTTAATTGAGGGAACATGTCTGTTGCAACCACTCTGATGTCGAGACGGTGTTGAGCTCGCAGCTCAGTATTCAAAATTGCAGGTACTTGAAGTTGATCAGACTCCATATCAGCATGCTCAGTGGACCGCTTCGTTGGGTCACCACCCACTGGCAACCCCCCTGCCTTGAATTCCTTAAAAGGAGAAGCCTTTGCGAACAGGTGTGCACACAGACACACACCCCAACAAAATATAAAACACTGACAAGCCTTGGGCTTGCTGCCAGAAGCTCCGCCGACGCGCCGGGCTCCCGCCAGGCCCCTCGCCGAGGCTCCCCGGGTGCACTCTGGATGATGGGGAGGCCTTGGAGAGACCGTCCCAAGGATGTTAACCCTTTTACTCAGAGTCCTTAATCGGAAATAAAGTCACCCCCTATGATCATCCCTACTAAGGACTGCTAGTATCATACCTTTTTTACACATGACTTTGTAGCTTTATAGTTGATTACACATGCTTCTCTTTTGCTTTATGTATATCTTGGGATGTGAACCCTTAGACTCACAGTCCTTCATCGGGATTCTAGTGCCCCCCCATTTTCTCATCCCTACTAAGGACTGTTCGTATCAGGGGACATCCCAATGTATGTCATACATTTTTTACACATGACTCTGTAGCTCTATGTATGATTACACCTGCTTCTCTAAACTTCATGTAAACATGATTCTCTTGCCTTATATATGAATACACATGAGTCTATGGTTTTAAATATCATTATACACTGGGATTTTTCCATATAACATACGACCATAATATTACATACAGTCATAAGTACATAGTAACAATCATATAGATTTATTATTGCTGTTGCTATTCGTACTGTTATTAGTATTATTATTGGCACTTTTATTCTCAGTATGAATGTTGCTAATACTATTATGATTATATCGATTATTATTGTGATTAGTAGTATAACTAGTAATTGTTCTGTATTGTTGTTGTTGCTGCTGTTGTTGCTACTCATTATATTATATGTGTGATGATTTTTGTCGGTTACTATACTGTATTAATGCTTTACAAGTTGGGTGGAGGCCTACCCAAGTGCTGGTGGACTGCTTCGCTCTGTTACGTCTGCCAGGCAGGAACATGACAATCATCAGCACATTGCTCGCTGGTACAATAATATGGGCTTAGGTTTTCGGGTTTAGGGGTTTTGGGTTTATCTTTTTAAACATCCCAAAGGACATGACCAAGTTGTTGTCAAATTGTTGCTGCGACACGGAACACAAGCTGTCGCCGCCACTCCATGAGATACTCAGAACTGCACAGCAAAGATGAGCGCACGAGTGCAGGTGCATGCTCATCTGGTTTACGAAAATAAGCGACCCATATTTTAGACCCCAAATAGTAGGATCTCCTGATAACAAGAACCCCAATAACGTACCGCAACTTTCGTAAACCCCCGTATCCGGCCTGGGCTGTCACTTCGCAAGTTGCGATTGGCAGCGGCAAGCACACGCCGGAACCTGGAAGTGTCTGGAAGTCTTGCGCACAGGAAAACAATGAATCAGAGTAGTTAAATACCAACAAGTCATCGATGGCTTATTTGGGTGACGCAGCCAAGCCTGCAGACAGAGAGGGAAAGAGAGGGAGAGAGAGGGAGAGAGAGGGAGAGAGAGGGAGAGAGCGGGAGAGACAGAGAGAGACAGAGAGAGTGAGAGAGAGAGAGAGCTATGCCAGCGATTTGCGGCTGCAGCAGTGGTACGCATCAGTTAGATACGTTCCAGCTTTGACCACAACCCACATGAATCCTTCTCGTGGGAGGGGACGGAAGAAGGGCAAAGAGGCGAGCCTCCCCAAACCCGAAGCCCACGACCCTCAACCCCAAGCCAGCTTCGGATCTCAAGACACCAAAATGGCCGCCCCCTGATTCACAACCACGCCCCCCCAGATGAGGCCAGCAGCAACTCCACCTTGTCCTTCTTGGAAGGGTCCTTCGTTTGATCTTCACTTGGGGTTGTGGGGTATGGGGGTTTAGGGTTTTGAGGGTTTAGGGTGTAGGCTTAGCCCCTTTGGGGGTGCTTCTGGAGACGGCGGGATGCCCCCTCCCTTGCTGTCCTTGACGTGCATGATCCTCTCATCACCAGAACTCTTGAAGCGCAGCCGCCTTAGGAGCAGTTTTACTCTGAGGGTCACACTGTGTTCATCTTTGTTCGCTGTCATGACAGGCAAGTGGCTTCTCGCGCCGGAACCACACGGCCAGCTGGCCCATGTCCTGCATTGTTAGGCCTGCCACAAAGTCTGGCAATTGGAGACTGCCAGAGAGACTACAGCAGCAAGCAGAAGCCCCCTTCGGCCAATCGGTAAAGTCACTCGTGGTGGCAAGCCATCGAGTCGCCCCTCTGAAACATGCCGGGTGTGGCATTCCACGAGACGCGGCCAAACGGCTTGGCCCACCTGTCACAGTGAACTCAAGATGTCCATGAAGTGAAGGATGTGTGGTGCTCCTATGTGCTCATACGTGCTCACATGTGCTCGTATGATTCCCGGTCACCTTTTACAAGGAACTCGCGCTGCACTTGGACTTTGTCGTTTCGGGCCCGGGCTTTGGCTTTGTTTTGGGGGCTGCACGGCCTCACGAATCACCAGTCCCGGACAAAGACCAATTTCAATTGTCAGATGCAAGAGTAGGCAGACAGAAGGGACAGCGTCTGCACGGAGCCAGTAGACTCACACTGCCCGTTTTTCGGCACGAGGTGTACCTAGCAGCTGCTGCTGCGCTTACCTAAGTTAGAGAACGGGCTTGTGGCTCTTGGCCTCCTGGCTGCTCCTTGCCCGCTGCACGGCTTTTCTGCTCTCGTCGGTGTCCTCTGGCACCTGAGGCTGTGGGGTCAGGGAGACGATCCACAACCCTGAACCATTCTGAGGTTGAGGAGTCTTGCCGAAGCTTGCTCAGGCTTGCTTGCGTGCCAGATCTAAATTTCCATATGCAATTCAGGGGCTCCTTCGGGCATGCAGGTACGTACGTAGGACACAGGGGGAACACGGAAGTAGGATGGCATCCGGGTCCCTTCTCGGGGGTCTCTCCGAACCTAACACCCTCATGTCCCTTCATCTTCGCCAGGCAGCCACCAGCGTCGAGCTCTCCGCACTCCTGGACGGCGCTGACGGCCTACGCCGGTCTCCCGCATGAGCCGAGGACGGCCCAATGTGGCTTTCGGGGACTTAGGAGAGCCCAGGCTGCAGCTTCCTTGGGCACACCCGGCTTCTTTTCGCAAGGGATTTCCGGCAACTTGCGCAACTCCGCGTCCACGCGAACCTCCACCAAAAAGAAGAGAGCCCCCCCTTGTCAGAGCCCTCAACACAAGGCCTGGGAAGGAGAATCGGCTGGGACCAGCTGCCGTGCGTGCCATTCAGACTCAGGAGCTTCAGGAGCATCGCCTGCATGGCCTGGGCTTATTGTCATTAATATTCGTATAGTACTACCAATATTTTTTTATTATTATGAACATTAAGAAAACTAATATTGTTAATATTACACCACCTCCGGCTATGGGGGTTGCATTAGAACTGCGGTACCCGGTCAAGTCTTCACAGCTCTCAGGCTGCTGTGACAAGCTATGACTCACCAAGAACTCAGTGATCCTCGCAGCGATCCTCTTGCAGACGCTCTTGCTTCCACAGCCCAACTCAACTACAACTCTATTTTCGCCGGCGTGCGTAACCGCAAGTAATGCCTATCAGACATAGCCGGAGATGGCACACAAGTAACTTCAGCTGCACACCACCGTGAAGTCCTAAATCAAGTGCATGAGACATCGTGAGAACTCAGAGGCATCCAGGATGCCTCGCCCAGCTCTCCAGACGACAGTGGCGTCTGCTCGCGCTTTCCTCTTCGATTTTTAAGGTTTCGGGTTGGGATGTTCCCCCTTATACTCACAGTCCTGAACAGCAACTATAATCAAGGGTACTATAATCCCGATTAAAAACTGCACGGTATAAGGGGGAACATCCCAAGTTTCGGGCAGTAGGGTTCAACCCCCTAAACCCCAAACCCTAAACCCTCAACCCTCAACCCTAAACCCTAAACCCTACACCCACCCAACCCCCTCCCAGGCGCCTAGGCGAGCTGCGAGGGATCGGGCCTCCCAGATCAGCAACTCATCTCGACACCACGCCAAAGACAAATGTGGTTTCCGAAAATAGGGGTACCCTTTTTGGGGGTTCCCTTTAAGGGGGGTTGTATTCGAGTGTAGAAGAGGTATCCTTATTCTGGGAATACCCAAAATGGAAAGCGTTTGTGCACGCAACCTCTTCGCTGATCGATGAGCGATGGGAGGACTTGCCACCAGGGGCTGGGATGCTCGAAGCCAGAGCTGAGGGCAAGGTGTGAAACTGCGTGTTGGCAGCTGATCTTTTTCCATCTCATCCGGCGTGGTACAATAATATAGGGGTCGGGACAACCAATAGTCTTCCCTATGGCCCCTGTACAACTCAACCCCTAGACCCCATAAACCCCAAACACTAAACCCTAAACCCTGAACCCTAAACCCTGAGACCCTCAACCCCAAACCCTAAACACCCTAAAACCTTCCCTGGCCTGTGGATGCAAAGCGGCGGCGGCGGGTGCCAAGGGAGGCCTGGGACTCGAAGAAGCGGAGGGTCGCAAGGGGAGTTGCATTGGTTGTGCTGTGGGTTTTTTTTGGGGGGAGTCCAAGGGTTTAGGGTTTTAGGTGGTTTAGGGTTTTAGGGTGTTTTAGGGTGTTTTAGGGTGTTTTAGGGTCTTTTAAGCTTTCAGGATATTTCGGGTGTTTTAGGGTTCTGAATAAATACCCAAAACCTTCAATCTTGAGCCGCCGAGCGGCTCTACCTGCGGGGCATAGGCCTCCGGGCTGTACTCCTCGGTCTCCTTACGGTTTTCGCAGGGTTTTTTGTTTGGAGCGGGGGTATAGGGGGTTATGCTCCTCAAAACCTGGGAGGCCCGTTTAGGCTTCTGTGCTGAACATCGCCATCCGTCACACCGCTCACCAGCTCGGTCCTCGACGTCCCAAGGTGTGGCACACTGGAGGACACCAGCCCGGGCAAGCGCCCTCAAAATGACCTGGACCTGTTCAGGGAGCATTCCAGGCGTGTGGGTGTGTGTTTCGGTGACCTGTTCAAGGACGTCTTTCGGGCCTAAACCCTAAACCCAACGCCCGAAACCCCAAACCCTAAACCCCAAACCCTGAACCCTGAGCCCTAAACCCCACAAACCCTGAGCCCTAGACCCTAAACCCCGAATGAAGATGTTGGGTGTCGAGGGCTTGCAGCTGCAGAGGGCAGGAAGTCGGTTTAAAAGACATCCGCTACCGGAGAGGATGTAGAGTCCCCGGATGGACACCCCAAAGACACATTCACCAACTTATTTATTCATTTATTTATCTGTTTTCCATTTGTTTATATGTGTATTTATTTCCATTTATGCTTCTTTTTTAAGGCTCCTATACCTACAGGCAACCCCAACTTCTTTCCGTTCCGCACCGAGCGGCGCTCATTCGGGTGCACTCATCGGGTTGCTCAAGCCTCCTCGAGGGATGCGGCAGAGCGATCCAACGACCGAAGGAGGAAGTTCCGAGTGTTAGGTTCAGGGCTCAGTGAGTCACCATGCGTCACCTCTTCAAGCGTGCAGACATCTCGAGAACCCTCAGAAGCCAGTCTTGTTCCGGCTTTCTTGTTTTTTTGGGGGGAGGGGAGGTGACGTGGGCTGTCCAAATGGCTCTCCTGGTACTGTGAGCCTGTGCCAAGGCCACCAGTTCGGACACCACCTCAGGGTGCTGAGGCTGAGACCCAAACCCCCCCTTGCGAGGCTGGGGGAAGGGGCGGGGTGGGGACATGGGTGCTCTGGTGTACACTAAGCCGGAGACAGAACAAGGCTCCCTAGAAACTCCAGTTGCAGCGGACTGGAGAAGGCCCGCGCCTGGACCTCCACGAAGCGCGGCTCGCAGAAGCTCCAGCCCTGCGGCAGCGACGCCGCATTCCTGAATGAAGGGAGCTGCACATGCTGCACTTGTTGCACTTTGGAGGCGACATTGGTGTGAACCCTGCCTTGACAAAGCAGCGACTTCTGTAGTTGCGAGCATCGATTGGCTGCAGGGACGTTGATTGACTCTTGCAAGACATGTCCCAATAGCAGGCCGGCGATGTAGACTTCGCTACAGTTTTGGCAATGTTTTGTTGGGTGCCTCCACGCTCGCAAGACTCACAGTGACCACCTACTAGCCGGCTACTCGCGCCCGAGGCGCAGGTACGCAAGGACCTGACGAGCTCGCCGCGTGACCTTGGCGGATCATTTCTCATGGACCCTTCCAGGTGAGGACTGAGAGAGGAGCTGAGATGCCGCTGAGACAGGGCTGAGATGGGGCTGAGATGGCCCTAAACCCAAGACATCCCTAGAACCCCAAACTTGGAGGGCACAAAAGAGGGGCAGCCCATATCATATGGCAGCCCCAGCAGCGGGCAAGTGGGCCACCAGCGCCGGCAGACCCGCCGCCAGTGCATCGGCTATCGCTTCGTCCTATCCAAGGGTTTTTGGGTTTTGGGCTTTGGGTTTTGGAGGCGTTTTGAGATGTCTTCAGCTCTTCACATTTGTGATAAGAGAATGAAGAGGGCAACAGAACAAGCACTCAAGAACGACGAGCACGGCAGGAGAGGCACAGCAGCTGAAAAGCCTGGGGCTCAAAGCAGAAAGGTGCTCGATGCTTGTCTTCACTGGCAGCCGGCGCCTCTGGCTCTTCGACTGGACCAAACGGCACCTCCTCGTTGAGGTGCAAATCCGTGTCGTAATCGCCCTCTTGCCTGGGCGGCACTCAGGTCAACAGCCCAGGCAAGACAGCACCTGAGGGGGGTTCCACTTTGAGAGCATGTTGTTAGGGATGCCCCTACGGAGGGAAGTACCCACTTCTGCGAAGAGCGCTCTGCATCTTTCTTCGGATCCAGGATGCACGGCGTGGTTCCGGCGCCAGAGTGCGTCTAGGCCATCGGACTCTGCTTCCGGCGGAGGCCTCGGCGACTGCAAACAATGAATCGGGCAAACACCCAAAACAAAACAAAACAAAATCGAACTCGGGGTCCTCCTGTTTCTCGTGAGGAACGCACGCTTTGAAGATCCACGGCAGTCCACTTCATCTCGCCCCCCCCGACACGCTTCAGCCCATGCAAGAAAGCGGAGCATTCCAAGAGGCTGGAAGCAGACCAGCCCACACCGGTCGAGCACGGCGCACAGGGCTGTGCTCTCAGACTCAATCCTTGCAAGATGCAGCAGGATAACCAAATGATCACCCTGGCAACGATCTCTCATTCAGGCCCGTGCTGGCACGTACGCGCATTAAAAAACACCCTTCCAGCGTGGAAGAAGCTTCAGGAAGTCGCTGCATTTCAACTCCGCAGCCGAGCGGCCACTGCAGGCAGCTCTCCAACTGCACCCTGTCAAAGGACTTGGCCTTGAGCACCGCACAGACCATGGGGGCAGGGGGGTGAAGGCCAACCTATAAGCCAGATTGTCTGGAAGACCCCTGAAAACATCTCCTGGTTCTCTTCCTTGCCCTTGCCTCTGGGCCATCCCCATCCCTGTCCCCAGGGGCTCACCTCCACGACCACCTGCCTGCGCCCGGACGAGGCCGCCCTTCTTGGAGTTCCTCGGAGGCCAAGGAGAAGGCTGTGCTTCCCCTATGCCGAAGCAGAGGCCAAGGGAGCCCAAGCGCAACCTTCTGGCAAGAGTTAGAGGGCTCTTAAGGGAGGGGGGGTTTGTAACCCAAGCTTTGGTGCTTTTCACGAGAAGGGAGACCTCCAGGGGCTAGCAAAACCAAACTGGAGCAAGGCAAGGCTCTGGACTCCTCCGCCAGCCTCCCGACAGGCTCGGAAGAAAATGAGGGCCCAGGGTTTTAGGGTTTAGGGTGTAAGATTTTGAGTTTAGGGTTTAGGGTGTAGGGCCTTTGCGCAAGGCTGCGCAAGCTGACAAGAAAGCACACGGATCCGCGAACCGGCACTGGACTCAAAAGAACCAACTCTGGTTAAAACAACAGCTATCCTCAACAGATCAGAAGAACCACAAGTAAAATGGACAATGTACTTTGGGGGGGCGGTGATTATATCGCGGCTTCGGCTCACAGGCAGAGGAAAGAAGAAGCAGATCGAGGCCGCAATTGAGGTAGATCCCCTTGAAATATTTTCCCTTATACTAACAGTCCTTAATAGGGATTCTAGCACCCCCTAATTATCATCCCTCTTGTCCTTCATAAGGATTATAGAACCCCCCTAATGATCATCCCTCCAAGGACGGTTACCCCCGAATTATCATCCCTACTAAGGCCCCTTAAGTATCATCCCTCTTGTCCTTAGTAAGGATGATAGTACCCCCTAATTATCATCCCTACTGAGGATTCGATCCTACGAAGGACTGCTCGTCTAAGTGAGGAGCATCCCTTGCTGCTGAGGGCTTCGAAGTGCGGGGCCCGAGACTTCTTCCGTGTTCTCAGCCTGGAGTTCTTACAGCTATAGATATAGATATATCTAAATATGCTCTTACTTCTAAGGATCTCAAAATACAACCCCCGCCCCACCCCCCCCCCCCAAAAAAAAAAAAAAAAACACACACACACACAAACACACATACACGCGCGAGAAACACAGTCTCAGCCTCTGCTCAGCCCCTGGAGCCTCAACAGACCATCGGACGTTTTTGGGGTTGAGAGTCTCCAGGTAGGGTTTTGGGCGGATGAGGGGGGGAACTCTTTGGGCGTGTCTGATCTTTGGTTTCTTTTTCTTTCTGTTTTTTGATTTTTTTTTTGGGGGGGGGGGGGGCCGCCGCCCCCAAACAGACAACAAAAAAAAGCTTCTTAAAATCAAAAACAACATAACGCAGGCTGTCTGTTGGGGGTGCAGCATTGGGTTCCCATGGACTCCACAAGCTCCAACACGGAAACTGCGAATCGGAGATGCAAGGAACCTGGGTCCCCTTTAGGTGCGACTCGGAGGTCCAAAACAGGGTTTCGGGTTTAGGGTTTAAGGTTTAAGAGTTTTCAGGGGTTCAGCATGATCAAGAATCCCCAGACCAGAAGCCACTGCTCCTGTAGGGTTTAGGTGACGGGGGTGCAGGCTCCCAAAACGCTACACCTGGGATGTTCTCCCTTCTACTAACAGTCCTTATTAGGGATTATCGTGCACCCCCATTCATTGAGATCCCTATTAAGGACGGCTAGAGGGGGAACATCCCAAAACCCTAAACAGCCCAACAAACCCCTAAACCCATGCCCTAAGCCCTAAACCCTAAACCCCTAAACCCTAAACCCTAAACCCTAAACCCCTACACCCGTGCCTAAACCCTAAACCCTAAACCCTAAGCCCCTACACCCCTACACCCCTACACCCCAACACACTAAACCCCTAAACCCTAAACCCTAAAACCCTAAACCCCTAAGCCCCTGAGCCCCCTTTGTCCGGCTCCGGGGCGCCTGAAGCCAGCAGCCTCGGAAGGCCAGGCCGTCGTCCATGAATCCCACAAGGGCGGCTCCCTGTCCTCAGTCCCAGGCCAAGGAGAAATGTTTTAAAACATGAAGATTAACAATAATAACAATAACAATAATAATAATCATCATAATCATAATCATAACAATAATAATAATAACAACACTAGCAATAACAATAATAATACTTATTATTGTTATAACAATAACAATAACAATAACAATAACAATAACAATAACAATAACAATAACAATAACAATAACAATAACAATAACAATAACAATAACAATAACAATAACAATAACAATAACAATAACAATAACAATAACAATAACAATAACAATAACAATAACAATAATAACAATTATTATTATGTACCTTTATTATACATAATGATAATAATAAGAATAGTAATGATTGTAAGAAAGGGGACAGCTTGGTAATGGACTTAGGGTTTGTATGGGTTTTGCTTTGACCAACGACCATATCTAGGTGCGGTATATATACATATATAGAGAGAGACCATCACAAATGTTGAATCAAATAGTCACCCGCCCCCATCCACCCACACGCCTCACCCCTCACCACACCTTCAACCCCGAGTCTGAACCAATCTGAAGCCCCTTTTACAGCCAGGGTGCTGTCGCCAGCAGACACAGCCGCCACCAGCGATCCTGTACCTCAGGTCGCAACGACGTGTGAATGTTGACTACTCGAGATACTCTACTGGGGTGTTGGGGGCGTGGGCAAGGCCTCTGGGACACCTTCAGCTTCACTGCCAGCGGCATGGCAAGAAGCCTTCCAACGAATCCTGAGCAGAAATGCGGCTTACAAAGCCCAGATGCAGATTCCAGGTGCCTCCAGCGGGCAGTGGGCGGAATACATGCTCTGAGTGATGTCCTGGGAAGGCTAGTCTGCATGTCATGTGTACCACTACTGAGTAACTACTGGCATCAGCCATGTCAGCTTGACCTGACTTCCCGAAAAGCATGATTGGCATTCACAAAGCTCCCTACTCCACCGAGACTCTTTTGCAGTCCTGCTTTCCATTTTTGAGCCTGCCGCCCGAAAGCCAACAAAGCGACAAACCCTGACAGCCGATACGGACACACCCTTTCCCCCCAGCTTCGCTGAGGCGCGTCGCCCTCTTCCCAGCTGAGGCCCACGAGGCTACGGCCACCAAGACACGCAGCCTCAAGGGCTCAAAAGAAGCGTGGACCCAGGGAGAGGGGAGAGAGAAAGAGAGAGAAGAGAGAGAAGAGAGAGAAGAGAGAGAAGAGAGAGAAGAGAGAAGAGAGAGAAGAGAGAGAAGAGAGAGAAGAGAGAGAAGAGAGAGAAGAGAGAGAAGAGAGAGAAGAGAGAGAAGAGAGAGAAGAGAGAGAAGAGAGAGATATTCAAAATGTGTATGTATACGAATATATGTCTCGTCTTGTTTGCTGTAGCCATTTACTCATATCGATACATGTATGTATATGTATATGTATGCATATGCGTATATATATATATATATACATAGATTGATTTACACTGGGGCTTCGGTAAAGAAGAATATGCTATACTTGCACATCCAACCGCATGTGCTTAACTGCAACTGTCATGTGTGCATGTATACATTGTGTTGCCCAGAACTGTTTCTTCCAGAGATCGAGCGGCCGTCAGCCACCGCTCGCTGCCAGTGCTCGAAAACCTCAGGTTCAGTGTTTCGAGGCATTGGGCCTTGCGGGCCTCTGGGTGCCTTTGGGGGCCTAGGGTTTAGGGGGTTTGGGTTTAGGGCTTAGGGCTTAGGGCTTAGGGCTTAGGGCATAGGGCATAGGGCATAGGGCATAGGGCATAGGGCTTAGGGCTTAGGGCTTAGGGCTTAGGGCTTAGGGCTTAGGGCTGAGGGCTTAGGGCTTAGGGCTTAGGGCTTAGGGCTTAGGGCTTAGGGCTTAGGGCTTAGCATTAGGACCCAAACGCGCGAACTGAGTGCGAACTCTTTCCGAGGTCCGTCGCCGCGATCAGGTTTGTGAGGGGCCCTGCAAGGCCACATGGGGCCATCTACGTCTGTCATTCATCTATATTCGGCTGAAGGGATCGGATGGGATCGGGTTTGCTCGACACAAGGGGGAGAGCACCGAGAACGAGGCCGAGAACGACGCGATTTTGGCCATGCGGCTGTAGCTGGAAATAGCGGTTCTTCAGCGGGCTGCGGTCCAGGGCCAGCGCAGCAACATCAGGCAACCTCTCGGAGCTTTGGAGTGGGCCAGAGAGAGCGAGGGAGGGAGAGAGAGGGAGGGAGGGGCATAGCACCAGGAGAAGCCCGATGCTTGGCCCGCGGCCCCCCCCATACTGAATTGCTTGCGAGCCACATCAGCTGCCCAAAGGGCCGGGTAGTATTCCTCTCGGCAGATGCAGGGGAGCAACTGCAAACGGGGAGTGATCCGGCTGCCCTCCGGCAAGAATCTTCACAAAGAACTGACTTTCAAGATGCTTCGGCCAGCAAGATGGACCAACATGGCGGGAGGACCCTGACATACCCCCCTATATAAGCCCGCCTGATGTCGAACATCAGCAGCCCGTGGCAGGGGCCGCACTGCGTGGCTGCGAACTGGTGGGGATGGAAGGGGTTCGTGGCCAGGTCAGCGAAGGCCATGAACCTCAGCGGAAATTCTTCATGGGGTCACTTCGCAGGATGCCCCCAAGCACAGCCACTTCCAGAGTACACACCCTACAGCTACACCGTGGAGGAGGCATTCTGTAGGTAGTTGCGGAGACTTCGCCACAGGCTTCTGCGACTACCCAGGGAATTCTCTCCAGGCAGGCTCGGGGGTACTTTGCGAGAGTTTCTGGGGCTGGGCACTTCAGGGATTGTCAGCGCGACTCCTTGCGGTCTTCGAAAGGTGGGCATACTCGGAGGGGCACTCAGCGGGAGTCTCTCGCGGTGGGCTCGGGGACACTCGGCAAAAACTCTCTGCCTCTGGCCTTTTCTCGAAGTCAGGCTTCTCTAAGGGGGGCCATTTCAGGGATACTTGGTGGCGGGACTGCCTGTGGGCCAGTAGACAGGGTGGGAGGGTGGGACACCACCCCACATCGAGGGAGACAAACCTTTCCTCAGTCCAAGCGACTCGCTTGCACAGGCCGGCGACTTCCACATCCTCGCGGTTTAGCTGTGAGATGCTTCGAGCAGGGGGAAAGGTTTGAGCAGATACCAAGTGCGAGAAGAGAGCTCCAAAAAAAGACAGCGTCAAGTGGATGAGCGCCGTCTTTCCCTACGTCTTCTGATGTAATTTAGGGTTTAGGGTTTAGGGTTTAGGGTTTAGGGTTTAAAGGTTGTTCTTCCACTGCCACGGCGCATCTGCTTCTCGCCAGAAGACACATCCAGGATTTGGAGCGAGGTTCCTGGAAGAAAAGACTGACAGAAGGTCCCGAAACCCTAACCCTAAACCCCTAAACCTAAACCCTAAACCCTTGGACACGTGTAGCTTGAAGGCCCAAAGCTTCTGGATTTTCTAGAGAGGCTCCTCCTCCAGCTTGGCCTCTAAGGGGACCCCTCGAACACCCAAAGGGGGATCATATCGCCTTGAGGACCACATGGGTAGTTCTCTAAATTTGGGTCCCTTTTGAGGTCCCTCTTTCAAGGGTGCTATAAGGGTGCCATCCTAAACAAGGGCCCTGATTTCGACAACTACTCACATGGCATTCTGTAGCCGGAAGGCTGGCGTGTCTCCTTCGCAGGCTTGGGAAGAAAAACCTGCCAAGCTCGAACCCACCCAGGAATATCACACCCTAAAAAACATGTTCCCCGAAAGAACCCCCTCCCCCCCATTTTATAATTGCCCCAAACCCTAAACCCGAAACCCAAAAAGTGTTCCCCACAAGGACGCCCACCCTCAATTTACCCCAGAACTGCCCCGAACTGCCCCGCATCCGGAAGAGCGGCCGCTTCCCAACAGCAGCGACGCTCGGCTGAGCCAGGCCCCGCAGGTGCCGGGACCCGTGGCGACGAGGCGCCTCGGCGCGCTGTGGAGCGGCTCAGGGTTCAGGGTTTAGGGTTTAGGGTTTAGGGTTTTGGGGTTTTGGGGTTTTGGGGTTTTGGGGTTTAGGGTTTGGAGTTTAGGGTTTGGAGTTTAGGGTTTAGGGTTTAGGCTTTAGGGTTTAGGGCTAGGGTTTTAGGGTGTCGGGTTTAGGGTTTAGCTTTTGGGGCTTGCCACGCAGAAGGGGTTTTTGTAGGGCTCATAAGCATGGGCTTATGGAGCTTAGGGTGTTTACAGGGTTTATAGCATGTAAGGGCTTAAGGGTTCAGGGTTCAGGGTTTAGGGTTTAGGAGGGCTTTTGGTTTTTCGGTTGGGAGGCATCTGGGGAACCCTTGTTCAGGGGAATTGGGTATGCTGGAGTGAAGCCGCGGACTGCAAAAGGCACAAGGAAAGGCAACGAGCCGGCTTGAAACGGAGTCTCTCTATGGGGGGGGCTTCCGGGAGTTCAGGGCGGAAGAATATTGCAGCACATGAGCCGCCGAAGCCTCAGGCCGGATGGAAGTAGCCAAGGTTGAGGGTTTAGGGTTTAGGGTTTAGGGTTTAGGGTTTAGGCTTCAGGCTTTAGGCTTTAGGCTTGAGGCTTTAGGCTTTAGGCTTTAGGCTTTAGGCTTTAGGCTTGAGGCTTTAGGCTTGAGGGTTTTAAAAACACAGAAACAAATCCAAACAGGTGCCCAAGATGCGACGCGAAGTCGGGAGGTGCGTCGCCGTAAAGATCCAGCATGCTGACCTGCGGGCAAGGCTGCCTGACCCATGTGGCTACCTTTTTGCCCTGCTGCTAAGCCTGTAACTAAGCCTGTAACAGCCCTTAGGACAATCCAGAAAGCCAGCAAGATGCTCTCGCCTGTGTCCCCCGGTCCACTGCCAGGACACGGACGCCGGAAAGGGAGACGGTTGCCACCTGAGGGGCTTCGGAGACCCCATACCTACGGAATCAGAGGCCAGCATTGAATAGTATTGAATAGGCGGAGCTACTATGAGACTATGTGCATACAACTCTCCTGGCTTCAGGACATTCAGGACTCCGATGTCAGCCTGCTCATGGGAGAAGGGCTGCATACAGACCTGTCGCACGTCGTAGCCACTCTCGTAGCCTCAGCCACGCTTCAAATGTGTTTCAACGGCACCCCCGAGCCATGTCACCCCCGCCCCCCCCCCCCCCGAAGCCAGGGAGCTCCCCCGCACGGCATAGTCGGAGCCCTCCGCGTCTGCTTCAGAGGGCGACAGGAGGTGCAGCCCCTCGGCACAACGAACCCAAACGCCTGAGCTTCGAGAGGGCTCCAACTCAATCGGTTCGGGAAGACGAAAAAGATAAAAAAGTCAGGGTCTGCAGCCCAAACTGCCGTCGATGTTGTCTGGGCCCCATCGCGTGCGCATCTCCACGACTGGACTGTCGAAGTTCCTTAGCGGCAGATCACATGTGACCCGTGACACTGCGGGGGCCTGTTACGGCCGAACGAAACGGAACGGTACAAAACGAGCTTCTCCAAGAACTCCATGCAACCGAGCTTCACGCGGCTTCGGCGGCTTGAAGCAATGAGGGTACTGCCCAGATCCAGGTACCTCAGGAGTTTTGGAAGAACCGCATGGGCTGAGTTCACCAGAGAGCGGAGGCAAGGGGGGCCAGCAGCTTGCCCCGCTTAGAATCTCACACTGCGTGACGGGTCGGATGATTTACCTCAGGGTCTTGTGCCGCCCAGCCACTCTGAGTGGCCATGCTCCGCCTCACAGGATTGGGCAGCGGCCCACGGCAGGGGAATGTTTCTGCCAACCACCCACATCAATCACCCTACAGGTGTCCTGAAACCCTCATTGAACCCTGGAGTCCCTCGCCTCTCAAAGCTTTCCAAAACGGATTCTGCCCCTCCGGACAAGCTTTGCATACCGCAATACCTGTCGCACATAGGCCAGGAGAGAAGCCGAGGTGGGCAGCGTGGTACTGCTAAACCCGGAACATCCAACACCCTAAACGCCTAAACCCTAAACCCTAAATCTCGATCAGCCCCCGAAAACCCCGCTATAAATCCCCAACCCGAAAACCCTTCAACCCCAAACCCTGCAAACCCTGAAACCGCCCAGGTTTAGGGTTTAGGGTTTAGGGTTTAGGGTTTAGGGTTTAGGGTTTAGGGTTTAGGGTTTAGGGTTTAGGGTTTAGGGTTTAGGGTTTAGGGTTTAGGGTTTAGGGTTTAGGGTTTAGGGTTTAGGGTTTAGGGTTTGTTTAGGGTTTAATTAGGGTTTAGGGTTTAGGGCCCCAAACCCCCCAAACATCTGAGACGCCTGGAGCTCCGGCGTGGAGAGCCCGAAGGTGAGGTGGCGTAAGCAGCAGCCGTCCTGGGGAAAAAAGATTTGGCCCACCGGTGGCGGCTTTTGTACTGCTGGTTTAGGGTTTAGGGTTTAGGGTTAGGGGTTTAGGGTTTAGGGTTTAGGGCTTAGGGCTTAGGGTTTAAGAATGCCACACCATCCCTGTCGCACAGCGGCTGACGTCAACTCCCAGCCACAAAAAACCCTGGCCCTCAGGGTTCTCCAGGGATGGGAGGGAAGCTCCACACGAATACCTGAACCGACCTGAAAGAACGCACCCGTTGGCCATCGTCCTTGACAGCCACCAGGGCTTCTGAGCCTGACCTCAGCGACTCAGAAAAGGTGGGGAGCCCCCAGCCATGTTGCTGGAAGAAGGCTGTACCAATGTGTGCCCTTGGAAATGCTGGGATGTGCAAGAAAACAAGCAACCAGCTCGGGCCTTCCTACCAACGGACGACCGACAGACGACAAACGGCTGCCGCGTTGTCACATGCTCACTTCTGCTAGGACAGCCGGAAGCAGCACGGGATTCGCTGTACCGCTCTGCCTTCGCCGTCCTCGAAGCCATGCGTTGCCCGAGAGCCGGAGCAGGTGAAAAGCCAGAACTCCAAGTCCAAGGAAGCAAGAGAAGCCTTTTCAAGTCAGCGAAGCCGTGAAGCCGTGAAGGCGTGAAGGCGTGAAGGCGTGAAGGCGTGAAGGCGTGAAGGCGTGAAGGCGTGAAGGCGTGAAGCCAAGCGGAGTCGAAGCCCGGATAACCCCGAACAAAATCCTGGCAACTATCGGGTTCCTACGGAATGCAGGCGGCTTCCTTCGCCTCGGCCCCCATGGCTTTTGGCATTCTGGGTCGGGCGCGGTGGCGGGGATTTTGTTTCGGAGGTGTTTTGTTGACGAAACGATTTTTGAGGGCTTCTTCAAGGTCGCTGAAGGCATTAAACGCGTTCTCCTGCCCCCAAACAGTGTGCCAACACGAAGGGGTTCCAACCTCAGGGGTAAGTGGCGGTAGGAGTCGCGCAGCTCCCGCACCCGACACCTGGACTCTTTCGTGTCCTCTCAGTGCTTGGGAGGCCTACGCGACCCAGACTGCCGAAGGCTTCCCAGAAAGCCCCCTGTATTTTATGGATGAGGGGGTTTAGGGGTGTTTTGGAGATAAGGGCCCGACAAGCCCCTACGACTCAGAAACCCCTCTTCCCTGCTTGGAGTTTCCATGGTACTGATTAACCAATTCTAACTGTACTTATACCCACTTACAAGCCCCTGAAGTGCCCTGATATGGTTATAAGTACAGTTATAAGTACAGTTAAACCCTAAACCTTAAACCCTAAACCCTAAACCCTAAGAACCTGTTATAATTGGTTCAGAAGTACCATGAACCTCCAAGTGAAGCCTCGACTCCGGTTCATTTGCGGCCGGGCGGGCCCGCAAAGCGCCAAGGCGAGCCGCGGCCGCTGCAGCTGTGCCAAGCCCTTCCTCGCAAGCAAGCGGGGTTTAGGGTTCAGGGTTTAGGGTTTAGGGTTTAGGATTTAGGGTTTAGGGTTCAGGGTTTAGGGTTTAGAGTGTAGAGTTTAGAGTTTCGGGTTTAGGGTTGAGGGGGTGCAGGAGTTCTCAACTGCAGCTGCCTCTAAATGGTCACTTCTCTACGGTGTGGGTCCGTTTTGGGGCCCTTATTAGAAGCAAAAATGTAGAAATGAAGTCATCAAGATACAGCCAGCGAGTTTCACGGACTGTAAGAGTTACAACCTTGGGATCTTCCCCCTTATACTAGCAGTCCTTATTTGGGATTTTCATAGGGGGTACTCGAATCCCTACGAAAGTCTTTCATAGGGATTATGAATCGGGGGTACCCGAATCCCTATGAATGACTGCCACCCCAGGGTTGCCACATCATGGGTTCCATCAACTCCCGTCGTCCTGAGAGTTCGCTGCAGCCGGACCTGGCAGGGGATCTTCGGTTAGGGACCAGAACCCCCCCTTTTCTGAAGCCGACATGAGTTCTCCAAGCATTTTCCCCCCACGACTCAGGAACCGACACCGGATGTGAAAATCAGAGGTTTAGGGGTTTAGGATGGTTTAGGGTTTAGGGTCAGAGTGGATCAAGAGTGGCAGTCTTCTGTACTTTGACATCGTCGCCTAAGGCGGGGCTCAAAAGGCAGCCGAGTCGCATCTGGAACCACCCGCAGGGGGGGTGAGTCGAACTGATCGGCATCCGCAAACCTCACTCAATGTTTTGGCTCCGAAATCTTGAACATCCTTACACCCAAAACCCTATACCCATGAAACCCCCCCAAGAAAAAGCCCCTGAGGGTCACTGAAGCCCTAAGCCCTAAACCATCCTACACCCCCAAAGCCCCCTAAGCCCCCAAAAAAGCCCCGCCTCCACTCCTGTACCTTCGGCGTCAGGTTCAGGCACTCCTCCACCTCTGGCTCAGGGGATGCAACCGCTCACCGAAACCCTGCGAAAACCCTTTGAAAACCTGAGAAAAACAACCTATATCAAAACCTGAGAGAAAAAGATCTATAAAAAGCTGAGAAAAGACCCTATAAACACCCTCTCAGAAAAAGCATACCAAAAAAGAACGATGACCCTACGACAAGCCTCGCAACCCTGAAAGCACCCTAAGCCTTGAAGCTCAGCTCGCCTCCAGCGACTCCGGGGGCGCTTCTTCCCGAAGGCGCTTCCGGCCAAAAGACATCGCGTCTCCATGGCCGCGGACCCCATGAAGCTGTCTCAAGGGCTTATAGGGTTTAGGGTTTAGGGATTGGGGTTTAGGGTTTAGGGTTTAGGGTGTAGGGTCTAAAGCTCAGTGGTCAGATGAACAAGAATGCAGCAGGAGCCGGCAAGAAGCCGCGCTTGTAAACTTGTTCTGGCGGACTCGCCACCCTTGAGAAGAAATTCAGTCAGGAACGTCCGTGGCACACTCACAGATCAGGAGATATGTATGTTGCCCCTTTATACACTTTGTACAAACAATCCTTTGTAGGGACTAGAATCGGGGTACTCTAATACCTATTCAGGACTGTTAGAAAAGGGGGAACATCCCAGTATGTATGGCACGTCGCGAAGGAGGACCGTCCATGCAAAGGTCACAGGCATTGTGCTGGGGAATTTTTGACTTGGCAGTTCGACAACCTGATGCACCTGCAGAGAGGTGTCCGTGCGGCTTTTGAATCGAAACCGAACATCGAATTCCTTTGCTCCGTTTATCGGGTTCTTAAGGGAGGGGGGTTCAAGGGGGGTAGGTACCTAAGGGAGCCTTAGAGAAGCTTAGGGAGCCTTAGGGAGAAGTGGGGAGTATCAGGGAACCTTGGGTTCCATACCCCCCTGGAACCACCCCCCCCCCACCCCTTAAGAACACGATAATCCTTGGTATCAATCCTTGGCTGGAAACATCGCGACGGGAAGGACCTCCGACGACTTGACCTGGTTGAAAGGACTACACCCCAAGCCCCGAAGCCCCGAACCCAACACCCTAAACCCTAAACGGAGCGAATCCCTACACCCTTTAAGCCCTAAAAGCCCTTAAAAACCCTGGAAAACCTGAAAAAACCCTAAAAACGCTAAAACCCCCAAAAGCTCTAAAAAACCCTGAAAAACCCGAAATTCCCCAAGAAAACCCAAAGTAAACCCACAAACGTGCCTTCTTCGTCGCTGCTGTCGATGGACAGCCTCGCAGCCACTGTAGGCGCCAAACAGTCAATGCAATCAGATACACTAAGATAGTAAGGCAATAGCAAGACAGAATCTGCATACATGAATATACGAATAAGAGAGTGCAATAGTAATATACTGGTATACAGGAATCCTTTCATGCTTCGGGAAAGTGCAGGAACATCGGGCTGCTTTCCCACTCCGACTGAAGCAAAATGGTCCAACCCCCCCCCCCCCAACGTCCACGCATCACCTGACATGGGCCACGAGAAAGCGTGCTGAGGCCGCCCACAGCTCACCGATGTTCACCGCAGCCGGCAAAGTGTCGGCACAAGCGCCTTGGAAGGATCACGCAGGGTTGAGGAATATGTAAGACTCACAGCCCGCATTTTTAGGGGGCAGGAAGGCCCCCAAGTGACAAACGGCAGAGCCCTCATGAGGCAATGGTCGCAGCTCCGCTCTTTCAGGCGGGGGCATGCGCCGTAAGAGCCTTCATTTCCGGTGACATGGGGGCCTCGCTGCAACACAGCTGGCACTCAAAGGAGCCAAACGCAAGCTGCCTCAGAACTACCAGGTGACTACCACTGCCCAAACGAAGGAAGATAGCAAGATAATGTAATATACCAATAAACTAACAGAGTTAAATACTAATATACTAAGACAAGAACACACTATTGTCATAAGTCTTCTGCTTCAAAGGACCACCGCCTGCACCGCCTGGGCCGCCTTAGCGGCCCGGAGATGCCTCTCCAGGGCCTCCAAGAGGGGGAAGCTTTTGTTGTTTTCGGGGGGGTTGCAGGCTGGTGGTTGCGTATGGTTGGGTAGAGGATCTTTAGGGTTTTAGGGTTTTCGGGTTCTCGGGGTGGCTTGTGGGATCTTGAGGCTTCTCCAAAAGAAATCCAGCACACAGTAGCCGGACCACAATGGGACTTCCCACGCGGTTGAACATTAGCCCCGACACCACCCCACTCCCCCTCCCCCCCAATCTCCCCTGAAGGGCGGCTGACCTCCTGAGTCTCTTCCGGGAGCGCCTTGCGCAAGGCATCGGGAAAAGGCTCTTATCGACTCCAGCGCCGGTTCCAGGCAAGCTCTTCTTACTGTTGGTGAGTAGGGAATGGGGGAATGAGGTACCCTGCATCATCCCTCAAAACGTATATATAGGGCCCCAATGAGGCACCATATATATAGATTCATATATAGGGCCCTCATTCCCTCATTCCCTGCTAACCAACAGCAAGCTTGTGCACGCTGCTCGTATGAAAAAACACGCGCTGGGGCGCCTCCACGATGGCGTGGCGCTGCTCCGGGGTGAGCTGAGCCACGGACGCTGTTTGGGTTCTGTTCTGGTTTGGGTTTAGGGTTTAGGGATTAGGGATTGGGGTTTAGGGTTTAGGGTTCAGGGTTTAGGGTTTAGGGTTTAGGGTTTAGGGTTTAGGGTTTAGGGTTTAGGGTTTAGGGTTTGGGAATTGCTTATACTCGGCGAACACGAAAGCAAGCTGGCTTTGCCTGTTAGCCTTGGCATAGGTCTTTCTGCCCTTTGCCCCGTGACACATGATGACCTAGTTGTCAACACCTTCTTGCAACACAGCGCTTCGAGCTGCGTCATTGAGGTGTTGCATGGTGTTGCTGTGTATGTGGACGTCGCCATCAGTCTCATCAGTCCCACAGGAGGACATGCCATAGTCATGGCAACCACAGTTTATGACATTGCTGCAGACCCTCCTTAACCCTTGCTTGTGAAATGCTGCAGCTCAGTGACGCTGCTAAAAGCATTCTTGCAGCTGCGGTGCATCCCGAAGGATGTGGACCACCGAAGCCTCAAGGCAGCAACTGAGCAGCTCCAGGCTGCGTCTGTCTTTTGGAACCAAAGCAGGCTGGGAAATTGAGGGTTTGCCTTCACATCGCCCGCTTGCTTCTGAAGGGTTCAAGGAATGATCCCTGACAGAGAAAGGGGGAATGCCGGAATTTGAAGGGCTCACTCGGCCAAGGCCACTGCCATGTCGGGGGCCATCAGGACCTGCAGCACAGCCAGGAAGAGAGAGAAGCCCTTGATGCTGAAACGCCCAAGGGCCCAAGGGCGGTTGCGGATGTTGTGGGAAGGCATGCAGATGCACGCAGGGTCGGTTGTAGAAAGCTAACGAGCTCCGGAAGGAGATTCCATCAGCCACGGCACTCAGAGGGGCTCAAAGAGGGTCAGAAAGTTGCCACCAGAGAAAACTGGTCATCCCAATCCCCATCCTGCCTGGGTGTGGATGGCTTCGAAGGATCTCACCGACTGGCCGGGCTTTGTGTGTTGGTGGCTGGGACGACTGGGCTCGTGACTACTAAGTCTACTTGCTCCAAGCCCACTTGGGCCTCAAGCCGACCGTCAACCCCAACGGTCGGTCAACCCTCAGCCTGCTTTTAAGACGGAAATCCCTCAACCGCGGTCCTGAACCTCAGATTTCAAACTCAGGACTCCCACCCCAGGCCATTTAGCAACCTACTGAATTGCAAGCCCCAAAACACAAAATGCCAAGAAACTCACCCCCCCCCCCAAAGCCCCCCTGTGTCCCATCCTGAAGGAGCTCCTGGCGCTTGGGCTCGTCCGCCGTTTCCAGGAGCTGCCTTCACTTTTGAAAAAAGTTTGATGTGGGGGTAGTGCCCCGGTCATAAAGGGGACTTAGGGTTTACGGTTTATACCTGTAGGATTTGGGTTTTGGGGTGAAATGTTTTGGGGTGGTGTTCTGAGCAACATGAGTCATGTTCCTGAAGTAGCACAGACGATCATGTTCAACTCGCAATATGTCATACAACCTCACAGCTTGAAGGCCAGTCTTCTGAAACACAAGCCATGTCTCAGCCCCTCCGGGGCTTCCGACGGGACGTTGCCAAGGAGCCGCCGTAGCCGCGAGGAGTTCGCCTCTGCAGGGAGCATAGGCTAGGGCTGATGGAGGTGTTTGGGGTGTAGGGCTGAGAGATTTAGGGGTGGTCTACAGCCAGAGCTACCTGAAACGCATGGTATCGTTTTCGAACACTGCTGCAGGCCTCTTTGCAGACATCATCCCTCCTCCCAAAAAACAAACCTGGAAGCCAAACTTTCAAGGCCCCTCCCCTGGAGAGGTCCACACGAGGCAGGCAAGGGAACGAGAATCGCCTCCTGCTTCAAGTGCTTCATCAACTCCCGGCGTGTGGCCTGTGGTCGCCCATTCGGCGGTGCACCGTGGCTGGCTTTGATGACTTGGTAGCCCAGCAACCATATCATAATCAGGGCACCCTTTGTGGGTTTTTACGTATGAGTACCACTGCGCTACCAAAGATGAGCTTCTCTTGCAGCACTATCTTTCGCAAGGCAAGCATCAGGGCTTTGGGGTTTAAAAGACAGCCGTCCCAACCGTCTCATCCTAAGTATGCCGGAGAATGTGGCTGAATCCTCCTCTAGAAGGAGATGGCGCCTGCGCAGCTCCTGAAAGGAAATCGGCCGGCCATGATACACTCTACACATCCCAAAACCATCCCCAAACCCCTAAAACCTCAAACATCCCCAAGCCCGCATGAAAGCCCTGAAAAAAAAGAGAACGGCGCACAAAAACAACACATCTAAAAGCCTATAGAACTTAAACAGTTATATATATATATATACAGGGAAGCGCATCTAAAAGAGCGTCAAGAGCCCATAAGACCCATAGAACAAACCCACCCTTCGAAGCACAACAAAAACTCCGCCCCCGCGCACGGCCTCGGGCATCGCCGCCAGTGAAGAGCGCCGCTCCTCCGCAGGCATGGCCTCGGGAGATAGGTTTAGGGCTTAGGGTTTAGGGTTTAGGGTTTAGGGTTTGGGGTTTAGGGTTTCGGGTTTAGGGTTTAGGGTTTCGGGTTTAGGGTTTAGGGTTTAGGAGGTGGGCCATCCTTAGACGTCTAGCCTCCATCCCATTTGGGTTTAGGGCCCTTCAGAGCTTCAGGGCACGTAACGGATCATGTAACATATTCAAGGAAGAATTTGTCGAGCCTCTCAAGGGTTCGCATCTAAAATGGGGGCTAAAACAGCGCGTCACTCAGGGGAAAGCGCGAAGGCATAAAGGTCACATAGGGCCGAAGTCGAGCATAGAGCGCCGGACCCGCAGACGCTTGAGGATGCCCTGGCGCGGCTCACAGCCCAACACGCCCCCTCCCTGACGATCGATTCATGGCAACACCGGGTCGTGGCGGGATGTTCCTGGGTCCCGGGGGGGCCAAGACAGGCCAAGACGGTTCTCAAATTCTTACAAACCCCAAACCCAACACAAACCCTAAGCCCTCAACCCTCAACCCCCTGCATGTCTTCAAGGTTGCGGACCCACGCAGGACCGCGGCGACAAACGCGGCGACAAGAGATGACGAGTCCCTGGGGCAAAAGAAGCCAGGCAGACCTCGAGCTCCACTTGCGGCAGCTCCGGCTGCCTTGGCTTCAGGCTTTCGATGTTGTTGTGACGATGCTTCTTGTGATTCTTCTGGGTATTATGCTTGTGACCATGAGTCTTCCGGCAATTCTGATTGTGAGTATGACGCTTCTTATGATTCTTCTGGTTATCATGATTGGCTTTATGACTCTTCTGATTCTTGTGATTGGTTCTTGCGATTTCTATAGCTACATGTGTTGATTATGACTTGTGCGACTGCTATGACTAGTATGGTTGCTATCGAACCCATGGCGATTACAGTTATGATGGTTCAACGTTGAACCCTCCAATCAGCCACCTTGAGAATCTCCGGAAGGCCTACATTGGGACTTTCTTCCTGGGCTCGACAATAAGGGACCCCCAAGCAGCAGGATTCCCTGATAATAAGGACCCCCACGCATACAGTCACTTCTCTGAAATAGGGGCCTTTTTGGGGTCCTTATTATCCTTGTACTTAGGGTGCCCAAGCAGGGACCATAGATTAGAGAACCGCCCATATAGAGAATCACCCCACATCCTTCAGGCACCCCGACATCACCGCAGGCTTCGGGAGTGCGGCGGCACCCGGCCAACGAAACAGCCAGCCTCAGCTTCCGAAAAGTTTTAGGGGGGGGGTCCTCGGGTAAGGGGGGACCCGATCCTGCTGGAAACTCCGACTTCGGAAGCTCGAAAATCCCCCCGTTCTCCCAGAGTTTTGAGGGGAGATTCAAGGGGGTGAGTTCGCGTCCCAGTTTGGTTTTTAAGACCCATCCTAAACCCTAAACCCTCGTGCCAAGTTAAACCCTAAATCCTGAACACTAAATTCCTAAACCCTAAACCCTAAAACCGAACTACTCAGAACATTTGAAGCCTGTGAAGCCGAGGCCAAAGCCCGAGTGTGAGCCTTGCGAGGTGCAAAGGCTGCTGATGGCGCTGTTGGGAACACCTGGCTTAGGGTTTAGGGGCTTAGGGGCTTAGGGGCTTAAGGGTTTGGGGGTTTAGGGGTTTAGGGGCTTAGGGGTTCAGGGTTTAGGGGTTTAGGGGTTGAGGGGTTTAGGGGTTTAGGGGTTTAGGGGTTTAGGGGTTTAGGGGTTTAGGGGTTTAGGGGTTTAGGGTTTCGGGCTTCGGGCTTAAACAACCACTGCCATTCTTACAAGCCCTGCGCGCAAGACTCTTGCGCAGAGATGATGGAGGGAAAGTCAAAGTCTGCATTCTCCAAAGGGCCTGTTTCTCGACTGGCAGATGCCAGGGAGGGAAAGTGGATCCAGTCCGCATCGTCCTCACCTGGCGGTCTGGAATTGGGGCTACCGGAGTTGCGGGGGCAAGGGCAACATCTTGGACTTCAGGATGCTTCAGCAAGAAGAACCTCTTGACCTCGGCGGTCCCTGCACGAACTGTTTCCTTCACGAACTGTGGCCTTTTTGAAAACGGAGAGAAACGCACGGCGTGGCATTCTGGGTGCCACCGCTCGGGCTTCGAGCGGCGGCAAAAAAAAACTCTTCCGCCGCCACCAGTGTCCTGCCATCCGAAGCCCTAAGCCATCTTGGCAGCAAAGTTGGAGTACAGACGCTACGTGGAGAAACCGTAGGTTCTGAGCACACCAATGCAGAACATTGTCTTTCAAAATTCTCCAGCACATGCCCTGGCTGCTGGTAGGCTGGGAGAAGCTCATAAAAGCAGGCCAAGTTGTGTGCAAGTGCCAACCGCCCCAAGCAACACAAAACCAGTCCCAGCAGCCAACTCACCTTATGCCTTCGGCAATAAGAGGCATCATTTACGATCCATGGAGAGCATTCACCCCATACAGAGGCCGGGTTCGCCAAATCAATGACATGCCTTGCCGCTTCCGTGGAAGACTGCACCCACAGACCCGACCTTCTGCAAGGAAGCAAATGCGTAGCGCTTAAATGCTAGAAGGGCCTGTGACGAAACTGCCACACCCCAACCTGTCAGTCATGTCTCCGAAAATCAAGGCACTGCTGCAATGGCAGCGACCGTGCGTGCCGAGACCAACTTCCATTTCCGCCCTGCATCCCGCCCTGCATCCCTGAGCAAAAACAGCTTGCAATCCGCTTCCCCTTGCGTCTCGGGATGCCCTGTGACATGCTGTGGTGGCCGACTGCTTTGACTGCTTTGGCCGGTTATTTCAGCACCACAGTGCCACCACATGTCGTACCACGGCTCACGGTGCACTTGCCCTGGAAGGGCTTCACGGCACCTGGGACTGCGGGCTATGGAACATTGCTGATTACTGAACACCCCAACTCAATTCAAGACCTGATTGGATGGTGATGGTGACTCGGAGCGTGTGCGGCAGGCTCAGGGCTGGGAGAAACGAGCCACGAAGCCATTAAGCCATTGAACTCAAAGACAAAAAGGCTTTGGGGGTTTAAGGGCTCCAGTTTGCACTGCAGGCTTCCAGGTTCGAGATACCCCACATGCAGGCAATGCTACCGGGAAGGTGGGGGGGGAGAGGGGTAAGGGGGCAGGGGGGGGCTGACACGAACTTCGGGCTGTTCACGAGCCTACATGCAGGCCAGCGGGCTCGCATACTTCCAGCCGCACTTCCTTTGGTGAAAGCCGTTGGGCTCACTGAGGGTTGCCTCTTTGGTCCCTGGAATTGTCGGTAGCTGCATACATGAACAACAGTAACCGAAGCTTCTTTCAACCTCCTGGGAGGGAACGGGTGCTCCCACTGGAGGGGGTTTTTGAACCCTGACACTGCACTATATAGGGCATATAGGGCCAAGAGGCTGGCAGACCCACCATTGCGCCGGCCTGGGCGCCGAGCTGGGTGCCGAGCTGGGAGCCACACCAGCCGGGGCCTCGACGGAAACAGACAAAAAACCAATCAAGTATGTCTCACGGTTTACGCTCTGCGACAGGGACCAGGACACCTGGACTGGATAAGAGAGAGGTCAGAAGACGACCGAAGACGACTGCCCCGCCTTTCGAAGCGCCGCCATCTCCCGCTCCTCCTGCTCCACCCTGAGCCCAGCAAAAAGACACGAAGGCAACTACTAGTAAGTTGACGTCAATGCGCACAATCACCGCGCACTCGCCATAATCATGCCTTACATTCTGCTCCTGCACCCTGCACATGCGTACCCTGACCCTCACCCGACAACACCCGACCCCTCAGAGTGAGCAACGGCTGCAAAAGCGTCAAATGTGTTCCCACTTCTTGGGGGTGCTTCGGTGGTGGCATTTGCCCCGGCCGGCTTCTGAACGGCGACAGCCGAAAGCTTGTACGGCTTGAATTTTTCTTGGAGGCTTGTCGCTAGACTTCGGAAAGTGATCCTGTAAACAAATCCACAAACCAAGGGCCCGATCCCTGAGCTGCCTCTCCATCTCCCGCTTTCGCGATTCTGCAAGCTCCTGGCACCCGGGTGCGGAAACAAGAGTATTGGGTAAAGCACGAGGCACGGATTCTCCTTCAGAGGGTCTCGGCCACCGTTGGCTTTCGAAGCCTTCCAGGGCATCGCTGATGCATGTGAAAGCTCTCTCACCATGCGGGCGCAGCTTGTACCTCGAGCGCTCTTTTGTTGAGCTCGTCGCGGGCCTTCTGGGCCTGCCGAGAGAGAGGAAAGTGAGGCACCTTGAACAGGCCTCTTCAAGCAGGATATGAAGAGGGCTGTATAGGCCTTAGGTAACGGTACGTTTCTAAACCAGACCTTCGGCATAAACAGGACCCCAAGACAAGGCCCTTCATGTTGGAATCCGGACCCAAGCCCAGTAAGACAAGAACTAAAAAACAAAACCATGCAGGGCAGCCTTCGCGCTCATCAGGACGGTGTCACACATCAAAGGCCTAGGATGCTCTGCGATTCGACGATTGCTCTATAGGGATGACGAGTGCTTGGAGCAAAAAAGGGCACGCTAGCTAGCACTCCGCGTGCACTTTTTTTGCACTCCTTGTCGTTGGGGAGGACTTCGGATGGCTTTGGGTCCGTCTGCTCCAAGCAACTCCTTCCGCGCGCTGATGAAGCAGCTGAGGAAGAAGTCCGGGCAGACGTAGTTGGTCAGCTTGGTAATCTGACCGATGCTGTGGCGATCAGGTTGGCGCCATCAGGGTGCGGGTGCAAGATAACCCAAGTGAATCAATGCAGGTCTGAGGCACCAGGGCTATCAGGAGCTACCAAAGCTTTTCAGGTGCCAACAGCTACAACATGTAACAAGCACATCCAGGGACCGGAGGGTCAACAGCCAAAAGAAAACTGCCAGTCTAGCACTGCATAGCACTGTCAGCTGTAAGTGGTTGACCCTTTCCAATATGTCCCTCGCAGAACCTTGCGCACATTCAACATGTCAGTCGCCGAACCCTTCATGCGCGATGCCAAGCCAACCGGTCGACCAAATGTCGCTGCGCTTAGACGGCTTAGACTCTGCCCCAGACTGATTCAAGCGTGAAGCTCTTGGGCAGGTCGGTAATGTCATGAAGAAGCTAGAGGAAACTACAAAGTCAGAAGGAACGTGAATTACACACTTCAATGTCAAACCTGGAAGGCTGCAGAACATGCCTCATCACGTCTTCGCAATGGACAGTTGACAAACAGGCTGCATCAACCGGTCAACTCCAAGTGAAAAAATGACGATCAGCATGGCCCCTGCGCAAGGATGACACGCACAAATCGAGAGCTCCGAAATCTCCTGCATAGCAAAAGGTTCACAGTTGAATGATCAGAGAGAGAACCCAGAGCACAGGAAGACGTACGCTGAACGGGGTGTAGGACGTGGCTCTGCGTCGACTGCAAAGATGAGATGATTTAGATGATTCGACGCTGTGGTCATGAAACTTAAACCACCTGCCTGGACATGCATAGCCACATAACTAACTCTCACAACCTACCATCACTCGTCCTTAGCAATGTCACCTCGAGCCCTGCCAAGCCCTCGCAAAGCCCCTGCAAAGCCCCCGCAATCCCCCGCAAAGCCGCAAATCCCCGCAACACCCTCGCAAAGCCCTCGCGAAGCCCCGAAAGCTCTGTGTAAACTCACCGTTGTGGGACTGGCAGGGCTAGATCAAAGATGGGGCTGTGAATACAGGACTTCCCGATCGTGAGAAGGTTGGAGGTTCTGAGGTTGGCAGACTCAGGCAGTCGGTTTCTACACACGCCTTCCTGACAAACACCAGAACCACAGAAACTAGCCAAACGCACCGCCTGCTCAGGAATACGGATACAGCCGAGAATGCTCTTGACCTTACCCTTCAACTCAACCATTTTGAGACTATGCCTCCTTACAGCCTCTTGAGAAGTCTACACAGCAGCCTAGTCTCTAGCAGAACTCCAACTGTGGGCTGGGACTGCCTGACAGTGAAAACCCAAAGCTACGGCACAGCAGGAAACTCGAAGGCAAAGCGCCTGGGCCACCTCACGGCCATCAATCTCCAGAACCTTCGGGGGGGGACATTCGCGAGTTTTGGAGGTGGGGATATCCGGTCCCTTCCTAAACCCTAAACCCTAAACCCTAAACCCTTGTTTTTGATTTTTTTTGTGTTTGAGGGGGGTGGGGGGGGGGGGTTGAGTCAAACCTCGTCCTCAGCGCGCCACTGGGCCAAGGTAAAAATCCTCAGGGCGCTTCTTCTTGCTTCTGGGGTTCGGGGGGGGGGGGGGGGGGGGGGGTTAATGAAAATATATAATATATGACATATATTATATATAATATATAATATATAATATATAATATATAATATATAATATATGATAATATAATATATAATATATAATATATAATATATAATATATAAAATATAATATATAATATATAATATATAATATATAATATATAATATATAATATATAATATATAATATATAATATATAATATACAATATATAATATATAATAAATAATAAATAATAAATAATAAATAATAAATAATATATAATATATAATATATAATATATAATATATAATATATCTTAGAAAATGTGAAATATGCTTTAGGCGTTGTGGAGTTTTGGGGGTTAAGGGGGTTTTGGGCAGGCTTTGGGGTTCGGGGGGGGGTTCAGGTGGCTTGAGGACTAGTGCTGTTTAGGGTTTAGTGTGAGCCGTTCTGCCCTTGTAGGCTCCAAGAGGGTGCTTGAGTCTGGGTCATGAGGTCCTTTGGCATCTACCTCATCGACACAGTCCGTGAAGAGATGCAATAAGCTCAACTTTGAAGGGACGCAGCTTGACATGCTCAAAGCATCTCGCCTTTCACCACTTCTGGGTTTCAAAATCGTTCGATGGTTTGGGAACGGGGGGAACCGGGGGGGGCGGGGGAGGCGGGTGTTTTCTTCCAGTTCTCCAAGACACGAAGAGTGAAGGTCATCCACCAGGGACCCGTCACCTTGGCAAGCAAGGTGTGCAGGCCAATACTTGGCAACACAAAAAGAGAGAAAACACCATCCCATCTAGCAAAGTGCTATGGATGTGAGGCGCATGGACTCACGGATAGGACAAACCTCTTCTTGGAAAGCTTCGGAGGCCTTTATGCGCATGTTCTCACCTCACAGGTGCGCAGGCCCGAAGCACAGCGAAGTGCATGAAGACTCGGTGAAGCCGTTTGCCCTGTGTTAGGCGCCCAGCAAGCTAGCCTCAAAAGATGTGAGTCTAAAATAGGAAGCACTACCTCGTCAGCCGAGAAGTTGACTACCTCTTCAATTCGACCACACCCCGTGATCTTCGACGCTTGAAGTGGGTCACTCTCCCAGTAGACGTTGCCCTGCATGTCCAACGTGCGGTGCACCAGGAACGCACGCTCCGGCTCCTTCCAAAAAAGACGAAATAGGGAGTCCAGTAAACCGCTCTAAAGAACCCAAACCCTGCCAAAAACATCTACAAAAGATAAAGATCGAAAGCAACCTCTTTGCAAAATCTTTCTATATTCATAATACATATACTGGTATCTGTCTAAAACCCCCTAAAAAGATTAACCTCAAAACAGCAAACCCCCCGGTAATATCAAAAAAAAACCAACAAAACCAACTTAGGTCAGATCAGTTAGATGTCACCATGTACAGGTGTGTACACAGAGACAGTGACAGAGACAGAGACAGAGACAGAGAGAGCGAGAGAGAGAGAGAGAGGCGGCGCACACTCCCGGTGCGCACCGAGAGACCCGCCTTCTTGCTCCGGAACTCCATGCCTTCCCGGCCGAGGAAGGCCGAAGAAAAAGAAAGAACACTCCGAAAAAAAAATCAACCGCCAATAATGATAATACGAATATTATCATTCTTCTTCTTCTTATGATTACTATGACTAGTATTGCTCTTGTTGTTATTATTAGTATTATGATTGTAGTTATTCTTATTATCATTATGTTAATAATGAAGACACTCTACTGGATTTGTTCTGGGGCCTGCTTCTTTTGAAGGGGCTGAGGGGGTTTTACTGGGCTCTTAGGGTGCAGAAGAAGCTCTTGTCTAACCCATCCCCTTGGCGTGGTCTGGGAATTCAGAACACAGAACTCAACACGAGCCTTACAACAATTGCCACTGGCAAAATGCACCAGGGAATGAAAGAATCTTCGCAACTAATTAGCAAGAACATCCCCTTCATTCCCTGGCAAGAACACCCCAGAACCCTGATCCAATCCTTGCTGCGCGCTTAAGCTTTGGCCAACATTCAGGAAAGCTGTCGTGCACCAAGCCCTAAACCATTTGGAGCCTTAGCACTTTTGGTACCCCAAATCCCATGTAAAGCCTTCCAGCCCAGCCTGTCTTTGTGATCTTAAAGTCCGACCAGAACCGCTTGGAAGTGAAAGCCGGCTGCCCTGACAGGTCCACCTGGGGCCAGAGGGCTTTCCAGCTTGGGGTTTAGGGTTGAGGGTGTAGGGTTTAGGGTTTGCGGTTTAGGGTTCAAGGTTAAGGGTCTAGGGTCTGGTTTAGGGTTTAGGGTTTAGGGTCTAGGGTTGCTTCATCTCAAGGTTGCTGAAGGCGATTGGAGAGGGTTGGGGTTCCGAGGGCTTCGGGGCCTGGGGGCTTCAACTCAGGGCGTGTGCACATAGTCAACTTGAACCTGAAGCTCTGACTCCCCAAACACACCTTGAAGATCCTTGAAGTCAGACGAGAAAGGGATATCCCCCCCCCCGTCCCCCCTACCTCCGACATCCTCCGATGCCCCCAGTAAATGTGAACAGATGGGGGTTTCCGAAAGTAGGGCGCACCCTGTTTGGGGGTTGCTTTGATAAGGCTTATCGCATTCGGGAAACCCTAAACCCTAAACCCTAAACCCTAAACCCTAAACCCTAAACCCTAAACCCTAAACCCTAAACCCTAAACCCTGGCCAAAGAGGAGGGCGAGGCCGAGGCCTGCTCAAAGGTACACCGACGCTCGAGGCTGCCATGCTTGTTCGCGACCACCTTGATGGTCCTCTGGGGTTTAGGGTTTAGGGTTTAGGGTTTAGGGTTTAGGGTTTAGGGTTTAGGGCTCCCCACATGGGGGGGGGGGGTACCCGCACCGTATTGGGGTCCTTCTTATCAGGGAATCCGACAGTTTTGGGGACTTTCTTAGGGGTCCTTTATTTTCGTGAAAACCCAAGCTCTTCATGGAGCCCGGGCAGAAAGCAGCAGCCAAAGGGCCCCTGGCCTGTCTTCCTTGACGGTGAACTTCCACGTCCTTGCTTCCTCGTCCTGCACAGGCCGCTGATGGCAGCTTCAAAGCCCGCATCTAGTCGACATTTGGGATGACATGCGCGAAAACTCCTGACATCTTGCACAGGGCGCGCATACATTCTCACTCGGGCGTTGCACGCATTGTCCTGGCACATGGCCGTGTGTCACAGAACTGAGTTTCGCTAAACACGTGGAAACCCTCGGTCCCTCCCAAAAGGAATCGTGGGGTCTTCTTCCATCCTCAGCCACTCGTGACGAACATGGTTACACAATCCACAGCTCAAGGCGCGAACAAATTAAATATACAACTCAATGGCTCAAATCAAACGAACCCATCTACAATCTGAGTTTCGACATCAATCCAGTGAGCAAGCTCTGTCAACATGATGTCACTCCAGCCTTTAGCTCTTGTTGATGCCAATCAGAGTCTTGACCCAGCCGCGCACTTGATACCACGGCGCTGACAAAACATTGGGAGAGGAAACCGGAACTTCTCGAATCCCAAAAAATAGCACAATCACGGCAAGAGTAGCACGGCCCACCATGAAAAAGAAGAAGTCGCAAGTGTGCTTCTCTACAGCGGCAGAGAATAATCCCTGCGGTGCTCATTGGGACAAGTGTCAACATCACCGCCTCGCTGCTTGCGCCATCCTCAGATTCTTTAACACCGAAGGTCTAGGGCTTAGGGTTTAGGGATTAGGGTTTAGGGTTTAGGGTTTAGGGTGTAGGGTTTAGGGTGCCTCGTACTCAACAAGGCCTGGCATCAGGCCCGGATACTGCCCCGCACACTGAATACATTGGACGAAACAGACTCAACATGCGTACTTGCTGGTCGGGAGTTTGGAAGTTCGCAAAAGGATTGCCAAGAAGTATCTGGAAGGCAGAACACGTAGTCCAGCAAGTTGAACTCCTGATCATCCATGGAGTCAGGATTCAGGGCTTGGTGTTTAGCTCAGCTTTTGTTCAGGAGCCCTCAGAAGCCCTCAAGAGCTTGAGGAGGGGAGATGAGGGGGGGAGGTTAGGTGCGCGCCTGGTCCGGATCACAGAGCTGCGACCACTTCTCTTCGTAGCCACTTGGTGGCGGTGCCGGCGCGGGTTCTGACGAAAGCAGGGCAGATGGATTTCTCTAAGTCGCGTAGATGTCTGGAGAATCGGGTCGACCACGTGCTCATGAGCGGCCTGGTCGTGGCTGTGGCTGATGACTGGCAGGCTGAACGGGGACCTGCAAATGCAGGGCAGTCCGCGTCACCCTCCGTCACTCTCCGTCACTCTCCGTCACCTGGTCTTTGCAGGCTGTCAGCCCAGGAATGCGGAGAGCCCCTCCGTTTTGATGCCACAAGGAGACACAGCATCCACCCTCTCAGAACTCAAGGACACAGAACATCGAAGCCCTCACAGTCCAAGTGCTTGTTGCACCCACAAAGGTCCTTTGCAGCTGGTGCCGCAGGCTGCGCGGAGGCGCCGCAACCCATGGCTCCCAAGATCCACGTGACGAGATGCGCCGTTCAATGCAGAGGTTCAAGACAGGAACATGGAACTGCAAAACAAAGCACCGTCAGGAAGTAACGAAGAGAAGAGAACCCAACCATGGTGGCAGTGGGCAAGTTTCCATTCGCCTGGAGCTTGGCTGATGCAGAGAAGCTTGATTGGTGGAGCCACACTCTTCTTACAACGGCCTGGGCTCTTCGTAGCCGCGTGACCTACTCTCAGACACCCTAAGAACCCGAATCCAAAACAAGGAACACGTGGAACCCCAAAAGCCGAACCCCCAAAAACTGCTCCCAAGGAAACTCCCAACACGGCTCCCAGCCTTCCTTGCGTGCCTCAACCGGTTTGCACCTTTCATGCCACAGGTCCGAATCCATATCGCAATCACACACGGGAATCCAAAATCAGGTTGCAAGAACCTGGCAAAACATTGCAGGAAACAAAAAGCTCCCGGCTCAAACTTTCTTCGCTTCCGCAGGCGCTCCAACTCTTCCGCGGGATCCTTCGCTGGGCGTCGTGCTATGCCGTGCTTCACAGCCGCCATTGAGCAAAGACTGACTTGCAAAGGAGAAGGACCCTGGAGAAAGACCTCATAATACGACCCGTCCGCCAAAACAGATCAGCCCTTCAAAGCATCCAGACACACGTAAGACATCAGAGGGCGGCACATGGACAACAACAACTGGAATCCGAGGGCTTCGGGCCCAAAATGGTCGAACACAACCCCCCTTTTCATCCTGAAGGTTGGAGCCCTGAACCATGAACCACCGCAGAAACAAGGGCCGCCTCTAGCACCGCCTGCATTCTTAACACCTCCCCACAGCCCCTCACGGAACCCAATATAGAAACGCTAGTTTACAGGGGTCTTTGGACTGGATTCCACGAGTAGAAAGGCTTGAGATTAGCCGTATTAAGCAGCGAAAGAATCCAGGACAAAATGCATGGTACGGTCTTGCTACACAGCCCAGCCCATGAGGGTGGGGAGGAGAGGCCGTTGCAAAGCACATCAACATACAGAGCACCCACAGAACATAGCACGTGAATTCAAGATTCTATAGTAAAGTCTCACGACGACCTCCACAAGAACCTGTCGCGGTGTCTGGAAAACAGATGCGGCCTCCTTGGGCTCCTCGGCGGGAAGGTGAAGCCCCTTACGGGCAGATCGGAGGCTGGCGGCTGGCTTGTGGGGTCTCATGGGACTTGTGTCTTTTTGCCAACACCTTTTCTCGAACATTCAGATGCTCCTGAGCTTGGCACCTCCTCGCCCTCGGCGCCCTCGGCACCCTGGGCGCCCTGGGCACCCTCAGCGCCCTCAGCGCCCTCAGCGCCTTCAGCGCCCGCTGCGGCCGCAGCGCCCTCGCCGGGCGGCGGCAGCAGCGCGAGGGGCCTTGTGCCAGAACCCACTTCCCTCCCCAAACTTCCCACAACACGAGCCTGTTCCGAGGCTTTATAGGGCTTTTGACATGAGACGCTACGATTCATGCTGGAATACATGAAGACCACTACCATCTTCACATCGACTTAACTTGGGCACATTGGCAGCAGCTCCATCAGAATGCAAGCTAGTCGACTGCTGTCTTGGTTTAGGAGTAGAATGGCCCCCAAAGCCCTACACCCAGCTCCACCCCGGACTTCCGAACATTGCCAACATGGTCGTTTGGGTGTCGGGCCGAGCATTGTCCTCTGCAGCCCTGGCGAATCAAAGAAGGATCCAAGAGCTTCGAGGGCGCTTGGCAGCAGCTATGGAAACAGGAACCTAAGATTCACTGATTTCTGGGGACTACATATCTAAGAACCCACACGCCGGCGAAGACCCTTGTTGCACAAGTTGGATATGCCAAAAAGCAGGACATCAAGCTTCACTCCCAGCGCCGGTTCCGGACCCCCGCCGCAGGAGTGCAACAACAACAACAACAACAACAACAACAACAACAACAACAACAACAACATCCAAGCGAAACAAACTGAGCCGTTTACCTGCTCAGGGCTAAGAGAAGGGCTGACGGGTCAATTTTTGCCTCCTTTGCGCAGCGATTCGCGGCGACGGGCGAGGTGCAGGGCGACTGGGCAGAGGGGCGTGGATAATGAGTTCTGGGGATTGTTAAGGGGGATTCTGCTTGGGCTCGGGGCTTGAGACAAAAAGAGCTCCATGCGCATCCTGTGGACAAACCTCGAAGATGCACTTGCACTTTGGTAACAAGAAACACTAAACCACCCGCTTCTCTGCTAAAGCCGAGTTTGTCTACCCCCGACGGTGCCCAAGTGCCGCTTCCACTTCGCAATGTAACTTCCCCGAAACCATCTTGCCCGAGGCGCCCCTTCGCTTTGGGACGAACAGGCTTTGGGATGTCGACCTGGCCGCATCAGCCATCATTTCGTGCTCTCAGCGGGTTTGGTTTGCATTTATGCGAGCAGAACAACCTCTGTAGTCTTTAGATGCGGGGTCAGCCGGGGGCGTCTGCTTGAAAGTCAGGGGAAGGAAACCTACTGAAGAGTGGAACTTCAATTTGTCGACTGTTTGAAGGGGAAGGGCTCAACACTAGAGAGGTCCAACATTACAACGCTCGGCCGCTTCTTTGTAAGCCGGGTTGATCAGAGAGCACATAGTGGCTGTCGAAACATCCGACACCGCGAACTGCAATCCTTTTCCGACCAAGCCCGCCAACCCGCATCCAATTACCAGACCACTGCTAAACTTTGAAACCATAAACCCTCAACCCCAAAACCCTGAACTCTAGACCACAACCAAAGTCATCTCAAGCCATCCGTGCGGGCGCACGGCCCAAATACTGTCCACGGCTTCCGGCGCCTGCCAGGCGGGGAACAGGGGGAGGAGGTCTTCCCCCAGTTGCCCCATAATTCGCTTCAACAAGCAGACCAAGATCTGGTCTCCTTCCCCCCCAACCTTCTCCAAACACTTTCTGTACACCAGCCCCCCCCCCCCCCCAACCCTGCCAAGCAGGGATCCGATGAAAATGGCCTGGGACTCCCCTAGGACCCTCATAGAACACCCCTGGGACCCCCCCCTTCAAGACACCCCCCCTGGACCGCTGCGCCTGCTCTTCGAGTCCATAATTGGCAGCGAACCATGAACGATTGTGGCTAACAACAATGATAAGTCGAGTCAGAATGAGGTTAACAATGATAGCAACAGTAACAAGAATCGCAAAGACTCAAAGAGATTTTCTGCGGAGCTGCGGAGCCGCAACTTCCCTCGTCCGAGCCTTTGGTGCTCCGCGGGCCAGGAGGTACCTCCACCAAGCGCAAGCGGCTCTTCCGCCACTTGTCCCTCTCTTGTCCACGGCAGCTTGCTTAGCAATTTTGGGGTTTGGGCTGGGGGGTTTGGGAGGGCTGCATGGGGAGAGCTTTCATAGCGACACGGTCTCGAACACCCAAGTCCCTAGAGCTGGAAACGGTGCGACGACACACAGGTCGTAAGCATCCACAACATATGTGCCGATAGCTTGGCCGAGGCAGAAGGATCCATGCTATGCTGAAACACCCATCGAACATCCATCAAGGACCCACTCCATGGCTTCTCGCCTCAAACTCAGGGAGTCCGGAAGATGTCACACCAGCCTGCATCCTGATTCAACCCAAAAAAACTCAAGTGTTTAACCCAAAGCCCGAAACAGTTGCAAAACAGTTTACGGCTTCAGGTCAACCCTTGACCCTAAACCCGAAGCCCTAAACCTTAAGCTTCATCCGAAAGGGCACAGGTCGTTCTCAAGGAGCTCCTCTGGGTGCTCCGTGTCCGGGGCCTTCGAGGGAGGAAGGCCAAACGACGGAGGGGTTTTAGGTTTTAGGGTTTAGGCTTTAGGGTTTAGGCTTCAGGGTTTAGAGTTTAGGTGGTAGGACTTGTTGGAGTCATCGCACTTGAGGTTCTTGAACTGAGGCGTTCTGTCCATGCCCTTTCAACAAGCAGCGGCTTTCAGTCCTCTTGGGCATCCGGCTCCGCCTCGGCGCTTTCCTCCTCCGACAAGCCCAAGGGGGCCAGGCTCCTGGCCCAAAAATGACTGCGGAGGGCTTGAGTGGGGGGCAAGGGTTTCAACAGAGATGCCACCGATAGCAACAAGAACATGGGCCATCCTTTGGCAGGCATGGCCCCAACAGCTCGACCCCAACAAATTCCTGCTTAGCGGAATGCCGGGGGCTGACCTTGCAAACCGACCCCACCCGTTTAAACACCAAGCCGGCTGGACCTCGGCTCATTGTGAGGCAGGGGCTCCATGGTGGGCTTGTGTTGTGGGGCGCTGACGTCTTTGCGATCCAGCTTACGGCGGTGGGGCTGTGTATGTTCTTGGTCTTGCAAGGATCCGTGCCTCATGCTGATGTATGGAAACTCGAACTCAACCGCTAACTTAAGTTTGGAATGTTGAGAATTGCCTAGCCACAATGCCAGTTGATGGTATGGAGCCGGCACCTGCTTGAGAGGGGGTCCACATTCGCATGCGACTCTGCACAGGAGCACTCAAGACACTGTGCTGCATTCCCGACTGCCATCTGAGATATCAATGAACCCTGGACATGAAGCCAGCACGCAGATACCGCATATGGGAATGAATGCTGTGTGACTACGAGGTTGCCCTGTAGATGTTGGCAAAACCGCTGGGCACTCATCTAGACTTCAAAGTTTCATTTCTTGAAATTGGGGCGCGCATGGGGTTGTACCAGCCTCGTATAGGCCTTTCTTGAAAGCAGCCACGCAGCTGCGCCAAGCCAAGTGCGATCTGACAATCGGCATGCGTGCGGTGAAATACGCTGTCTTGCCGCAAGGCTTAGTCTGAAGGTTTTGAGTCAAAGCTTGAACAAAGATTTTGTCAATAGAGATCAAGATGAAGTTTGAGATTGTTCTGAAGCACGGTTGTTCAGGGCACCTGCGACAAAGCAAGCAGCTACAAGTACCGATACAGGCGCTGCGTTGGCACCCGTGATCTTGAAGGAGCGCCATCTGGGAATCTAGGGGCTAGAAGTGTTTAGTGCCACAACTCGAACAGCGAAGAATGTCGACGACGACTCGTACTTCTGCTTCTACACTACCTTCTGCTACAACAACTCCAGGAGGCAATTGAAGTACCGTGTTCCAGCAGGACAGAGCATGGACACCCTGGCAAAGAAGAGGCGGGGACACAACAGCTGCGTAGCAAAGAGGAGGTGGGACAGAGGCCGGATAGGGCATGGACACAACCACTGCGTAGCCAAGAAGAGGCGGCACAAGGCTGGGCACAACCACTGCGTAGAAAAGAAGATTGGGAACCGATGCGTTCGATGCACAAGAGGCGAGACGAGACATGAACAGAGACACTATGTAGCAAAGACGCGTGTCTCAGCGCTTAATCATCAAAGAATGCCGCAGGAATTCTCAAAAGAATGTACCGGCTACTTCCTAAATCGTGCGCGATCAAAGGGTTACTGCTGCTTGTTCCAGACGGTGTTCCGGTTACTCTGCAGATAGCAACCCGGCTTCCCAGCTGCTCCCCAACAGTGCCCCGATAGTTTCAGAAACTAACGCCATCGCGGGGCAGAGAAGCTTTGCTTCATTCTGAATTTTCAGCGTGGTGACAACTTGAGACAGCTCATGATTGAGCTTGTGCTCTCAGTAGCTCTCCGAACCATCACAGCATTACCGCCATGTCCGGTGTCTGCATGGGCCTGCGAGGGTGTGAATTCTTGGAGCAGCCTCAACCGCACAGCGCTGCGTCATCTTGCCGAATCTTGCCTTTGCGAACTTTGCCAGGACCGCTTAAGGTACCCTCCTCGGGATGAAAATGCCGGGCAAGTTTCAACACTCGCATGTACATGCATTCACTCAAACAAATGTTCATGGCACCCAAAGTCCGAACCCCTGTCGAGACTAGAGCCAAATCCCAAACTGCAATTTGAGCGATGACGGGTGCTACAACTGAGACCGTCATAGCCACGACAACGACGATGCAGCTGCAAGCACGTGACACTATCCATCTGCTACCAAGCAGCAAACAGAGGACGCCTCTCGGACAGACTCTGCGAGCGACATGGCCTGAGATTGCGCGACAAGCATGGTTGTTGAGCAGGGGCCAGCGCCAGCGCCAATGCCGCAGGTCGCCGCAGGTCCAAGGGGCAAGGGGCAAGGGGCAAGGGGCAAGGGGCAAAGGGCAATGCAAGGCCGTGCTGCGATGCAGTACTTGAGAGCGGGCACACGCTGAGAGTTTGGAGCTTCAGGGTTCAGGGTTAGGGGGAGGAGCGGGGGTGTAGATCCTTACACATCACTCGAAAGAAGCTTGGGAACCCGAGGAATCCCGAGGACGGCAGTAGGATGCCACAATACATCTAGCTTTAAATGGCGTTATTGAGTTCGAGCCTCTGCGTCTTACCTCGCATATCAACCTCATATTCTCCCCAGAGTAATTCCTATTTTCACCTGCCTACCACTCCACCTTCTGCTGCAGTTTGAGGCCTCTTGGCACGGCGCCTGCAAGTCTTTCTGTGTTTCTGTGCTGTTTTGAATTCCCCACCCTCCCTCGTTTCCCCCTCCACCACCCTCAGCTATAGACGTCAAAAGGCATCTATAAAGCTCCAGCGCATGCCCTACCCAAGACTTCCGTTTAAAAACAGGAGGGGCATCACGCCAAAATGGGAGCATGCAGGACTTGCCAGTTTACCCTTCGTGGTTCCTGACCCTTTTTGACCTCAAAAAAATATCAGGAAAAACAGAATGGTCCCTGTGGTGGGGCACGTCTAGCGTGTCTCTCAAAGCATGTCTGAGCCTGCGCCATAATTGAATTAATGTGCAGGAGCGAACCTTCAGGAATTCAATTGCCAAGCTGCGAGACTTCTGGCCAGAGAGGTGTGAAGATCACCTTTTCGGCCTTTGCATGAGATCATTGAGGATTTCTTGGGACTTTGGGTGAGCAAAGATCGGCACACTCCGTCCAGGCACTTCGTCCAGACACTGAACTTTCCCACGTTGCTAGCTACCATTCTCAATTGCAGCCTAGACGAGACTCTTGAACCTGTAGGAATCAGACTCTATACCCGCATAGGGCTCACAGTAGCGGCTTCAACCAAACAACGAACTGCAAGTCCTGATCCTGAACCCTGGAGAAGACCTACAGACTCTGGGACCGTAGCGAATCCTCAACAAGGTGCCCCCCCGGCTTGATTTGCCTGAGAGCACATTGGAGTTGCCGGGATTTAGGAGTGGGGCTTGGGGGCTTGGGGGCTTGGAGGCTTGGAGGTGGTTTTGCAGATTAGGACCTGAGGCGCTGGCATCTATGAGCAACCAAAACTCGCGCATCCAACTGACATGGTAAACCGTACAGCGGGGAACACGGTGCAACAAGAAAGATGGCCCTAAAGGCCCCAATCCACAGCTTGTCATACCAGGGGCCCGGCATTTCTTGAGTAGGAGGCGCTGGTAGCCGAAAACGACGACAGCACGCGCCCCGGGTCTTTCCCACATGTAGGAAGATTGATTTCATTTGGGGGCCTTTTGAGAGGCTTTTGGCATCAGAACGTTGCTCAGTGCGGAGCTACTGGTGGGAAGGGCCCCAACTATTTGTACAGATCGGCGACCACATCGCTGTGCAGTCGTCAAGTGCCACGGGGCTGATGCGGATTAGACCGCGATCCACACCGCAGAGATTCTTGCAGGAAATTCAAAGTTCCAGGATCCACGCCACTGATGTCACACTCCACAGCATCTATAAAGATCCCAATTGATTTTTTGCAAAGAGGCGTGCAGCCTGCCCTCATCTAGATGAACAGGCCATTGGCTTCTGCAAGTACGTCGATTGCCTGAGAGCGGGCAGAGATCATCATCATAACAATAGTAAGGCAAGAAACGCCCAGCATTCGCGGCCTTCTTGGTTGCCTCCTCCTTAGCGTCGACAGCAGGATGTTGGGGCACAAGGTCTGAATGTTATGGGATTGGAGATGTAAGACTCTACTTACACTATGCCGATGCTGCTCAAAAGGATGGAGAGGCTGACAAGATAGGGACTCAGACACTAACCAGTTGCTGCAAGTAGGACAAGGGCAACACCATGCAAGCAAACGCTGTGCTGCAAACAGGAAAGTCACAAGACCAATTATAAGCAGACGACTTGCAGAAAGGATCGTACCGTGTAAGGGCTTCCAAGGTCAGGTGAGTCAGGTGTGGGGTAGGAGTTACAGTAGGGCGTCCCGGACGTTCAACAGAGCTAATTGGCATCCGAAATGGGGAAGGAAGAAAGAGCTCCCCGATCACTATGAACTCCGAGAAGGCTCCGATTTGCGCTTCTTCGCCCCACCACCGGGCAGAGCTGTTGGGGGCGGGCAACACGCTTACAAGGCCTGAACTTGGAACTAATCAGGAACTCGGCTGATAACAGTCGGGCTGGTGACCCTAAACCCGGTCACTGGGGCTATGGCAAGCTTGCATTGGTGCCACCGGCACGTAGGCAGCCACCATCTGAGGCACAAAGATAACGACCTGGGATTGAAAGTGCTTCATATCAACAGCTTGAAGCTTTTTGCCTCTGTGAGAATTTTGAGTTACCCGAATGTACCGGTCGTTCTTTGTCTACTTACCAGAAAGTCCAAACGCAAAACACAGCTCTGGCAGTTATGATCTGCAGTTGTGGGCTCTCCCTCCGCATTTCCCTAGCCTCAGCAGCTGCCTCAGCAGCTGACGCTCATGGCCCCGCATGACTTCTACACTTATGCACCTCATTACACATTCAAGGTGGGGCGGAAGTCTATGGGGAAATCCATCACACCGAAAACATGAACCATCACCAAGTTGAACTGCCTCATCGCTCACGAAGGCGTGCTGGAGCTAACATGCGGGGCGGGGCTGCAGGGCTGAGGCTCTATGAGTATCAAAAATCTGCGGCTCGTGTCCCGCCCAGACACCCACCAAGCTCACAACAGTTTCCAGCACCTTGAACCCTAAACCCGCCCTACGCCCTAAACCCAAAATGCCAAACCCTACTACACAAAAGTAACCCTGAGCCACAAGAGAAAGAATTCAAAGGCTCGCACCTTCTTTCACTCATACCCTTGCGTTTGAGTCTATCCACTTGCTCTAGCACTGCCAGCTGGGCATATCACATCCAGCACCCAGGCTCAAACATTCAAAAGTCGAGCCCAGGGAATGCCAGCAAGAAAGAAACTCCCAGGCACTGTAAGCGGGAGGGCGGGAGGGAGCTGAAGAAGGGACTTGAGGTTTCATTCCAGCGGAGGTCGCCTTTACACATTCAAAGGCTCGCACCTTCTTTCACTCATACCCTTGCGTTTGAGTCTATCCACTTGCTCTAGCACTGCCAGCTGGGCATATCACATCCAGCACCCAGGCTCAAACATTCAAAAGTCGAGCCCAGGGAATGCCAGCAAGAAAGAAACTCCCACATCTCCCATCATCTCCATTGCAAGTGGAAACCTTAACAGCACCAAAGGGAATACCATACTTCGGTGGGGATCTTTTGCCGGGTCCACTGTACGGATTGTTCCAAGATAGCTGGAAAAGACACTGCTGCCTCCATGACATTCTCCCTGACGTGGATTGGAAGACTTGGATAAAATACTGACGACATCACTTCCTGGAGGTAAACCTCCATGACCCTGTGGGACATCCATCTCCCACGCCTTCTCACCAGCTCAGCATCCTCCGAGACCTGGAGCTGGTGCGTAGCTCCGCCGGGCCTAAACGATCCAAGGTCCAAAGGCCTTGCGTGATTCCTTGCCGTCGGTACGCCCAGCCTGTCAAGGATTGAATCGAATCTGCGCCTTAAAGTTTGCGACGACATTGGCCATAAACGTGAAGATGCTGGAAGTGATGCAAAGGCCATGTCAATGCATTTCACCAAATCCTCCTGGTCGACCTTTGCAGCCTGATGTCGAGCTGCTCGAAAGCGCGTCTTTGGCTCAACGATCCTCAACAAAACGTAGGGGTTGGCAAAGAGGACGTCGCGAGGTAGGACTAGAGAGGCGCGCAGTGATCCCGTTGCCTCACCTATCCGAAGCAAGCCGCCCCACGCCAAGGCAAAAATGCCAGCTTCGAGCCTCCAACCCCAAAGCAAACTCAGCGAGAGCATCGAAAGCAAGATTACAGCCGGCATCGCGACATGGTGAGTGTGCGGCTCCAAAGACATCCACTGAAAAGCGAGGTCCCAGGCACCCTGAAGCTGACGCCTCAAACTCGGCCTTTTTGCTGCAATGGCGTTTATAGTCTCAGCATAATGCCAGTACGGTCTTCCTGCATCAAAAAGCTCACGGCCATATCGACAAAGGTATCCCACGATTGTCTCGGCAGGAGAAGCTTCAGTGGTTAGCAGGAACTGCAGAGATGATCCGATGACTCGAAGCCATGCATCAAAACCATGGAGCAGCTTATCCCTATTATTGGAAGTCCTGAGCAGAACCGGCCGACCCTCGGGAAGGGACCTTCCAGCGCGGCTGCCTTGCCTCTGCCTGTCCTGCTGGTTTCTGGGGCTCAAGGGGCCCTCACCAGGGTAACCGAGCGAGCTGTCAAACTCGCGGCGCGGCGGCCGGGGGCCTTCCTGCAGAAACTTAGGGGCCTTAGGGCTCTTAAGGTCGGCGGGTTCGGGAAGAGAGTCTCTAAACCTAGAACCAACAGCCCTAAGGAGACAAGAACCCCTATCCCTTGAAACCTTAAAGCTGAGGAGCAAAGCAAGACGGAACCAGGCCCCAACAGGAGCGCTCAGCTTTGCAAGCTCAAGAAGGCTGGGGAGAAACATGTCTGAAGCAACTGCAACAAGGGAAAGGCCGGCGGCCTCACGGACGGTCCTGTCCCTCGTGGGATCGTCTGCAGTGTTCAAACGCGTAGGCGCGTGATGGTAACCCGCGTAAATGCCGCCCGCTACTTGCCAAGCCGCAGCTCGACACAAGACGGGCCTCAGAAGGTGGGATGAGCTCCGACCTTTTGCCAAAGCGCCTCGCGCGACTGCAGAATCCAGCAGGAGGTTCAGTTTTAGGTCTCCACCGTCTTGGACGACGGCATCCTTTATGGCCTCGAGGGCGGCCTGGGTTTCAAGCACGTTTATGTGGGCGGAGCGGCGCCAAACCCAGGACCTTCCTAGGAACCATGAACCACCAACAAGCAAGTCGTTAATGGCGACATTTTCAAGACCTGTCTTGGGAGCCTCTGCGGGCGTGGGTCTGCTGAAGATGGCCTTGGCGAAAGTCTTTGCGACAGCAGCGGCAAATTTGTCTTGGGGCACGGCTGTGGCTTTTTCTAGTCCACCCTGGATACGAACGTGCTGGTGCTGTCCGGGGCACTTTCTTCGTATGAAGCTGATATCTATCAGGTTTCCAAGAAGAGCAAGTTCTTTCCTATAGGGTGTCCCAAACGCACAAAGCGAAGTCAAGGATTCACTTACCCCTTTAAAACCTAAAACCCAACTCCAGAAAGAGACCCGCCGCATCTTGGAGCGCCGAGGCTGCACAAGAAGGGCAGGCGTGCCAGTGCGGACGGCGACCAAGAAGATAATGAAACAAGCGAAGGCTAGCGAGTTTCCCTTTAGGGTTTTGGGATCTCTCCTGCAGTGTCCGAGGGGGACGTCGTACGACCGACATGTCGAACGAGCGGCGCACCTGAAAGTGGCGCAAGGAGGTTCCAGCAAGACCGACTTGAGCCTCCCATCCTGGAGCAGGAAACAAACCCATTCGACCACATGAATCTGGCTCAGATCGTATTGCTTTGACCTGGACAGGTCAATGACAGGGCCGGAGCAGAGGCCCCTTGAGCGGATGTGCTGTGTGACGCTGCCTGAGCCGCAGATTTGGAGGAAGTCGTAGGTGCAGGCCAACGGCTTCTTTATCCGCTGTGATTCTGGCTGACACAAGGAATTGCTGGAAGCAGCAAAGTCTAGGGCCTCATGGACTACCTCGGAGGTCGCGCCTGGGTGAGTAAGCCTTATGTGCCTGCCTTTTAGGTCGGAAGCCAACCAGCAATGCAAAGAAGCCTCGGGATCGACAGCTTTCCTGCAGTAGGCTCCTTTAGCTGTTGAGGCGTCGGTGCTGCAGATGAAATCCGCCGGGCTGGCTGAGGCATTCGTGCACATGACAGGCGCCAAAAGAGCTAACAGCTGGAGCTCCCCTGCCACTTTTCTAGGAAGGAGCACAGCTGCACTACCCGCAGGGGCGTCCGGCATGGACTTGCCAAGAGCAAAGAGGCCGTCCAGGCAAGACATTAGACAGCGCCGATACAGCAAGCAAGAGACCCAGGACCCGGCCAACATAGAACAAAGCTCAGACGAGAGAAGAGGCCAGCAGGCGGCTCGGATAGACAGGGCAGCAAGGCTGAGCCTCTTCTTGGCCGGGCAGCCGATGGTAGTAAGGCCGTCTCGAACACACTCAACGCTGGAATCAATCTCGGCCCCCGCGACTTTGAAATGTCTCTTGCCCCAGATGTCTTTGTCGTCCGCGCCTGGTAGCTGTTCGGACGCATAGGCCGCCTTTGCGACTCGAAGCTTTGCCTCTGAAGCAGAAAGGCCGGAGCCTGGGAGGAAAGAGGCGCACTCTAGGCGAAAGAGCGAAGAAATCGTCGATTATGAGCCCGTCCCACGGGCCGTGCGCATGGACAGTGTGTTTGCTCTGGAGACGGCCCCACTCAGAGTCGAGAAGCCCAAAGGTCTGGAGGAGCCCCTCGTGACCTGCTGTTGCATACTCGACCCCTCCGGCATCACCTTGCAGGAGAGCAAGGAAGGTGCCATGAACGGAAGAAGGGGGCCCCACAAGGATGGACCTTGGACTGTCTCCTTCGAGACCATCACCTTTGAGCCTCCGTTTGCGTCTTTTCTGCGAGGCTTCTTTCAGGAGAAATGCATCGTAAGCTGCGGTACCTGCAAGATCGCTGAGGTGAACAGCAGGGCCGATTGCGTTGCTGAGACCCCGCTCTGCAGTGACACGGGCCTGCGAATAAAAGTCCTTACGGTCCGTCACAGACCCAACCAAGCAGGAGTGGAATGCAGGGACATGCACCATGCACAACTGGGGCCCCGTCGGCAAGAACCTTGAGGGACCTCGCAGGAAAGCCTCCTGGGAATTCATGCCTCTTCTATCCCCTATCTGTCGGAGCCGGCCGGGCGCTTTGAAGGCACCAAAAAGCCTGGTGAGGTTCTTTTCAGGCAGCGGCCCTCTGATGACTCCGAGCAAACCGAAGCTATCCCAAAGCCTAAAAACCTTTACCAATTCACCCTTGTCCTCCTGGTCGAAGGTGGGGGTTGGGGCATCGGTTCCAGGGAAAGACCGCAGGACCTCAGGCTCAAGATAAGGCATGAGGAGTTCGGGGCCAAGATGCTTGTCCAACGGCCACGAGCCAGAACCATGCAACGCGAGTTCAGATGCAACTATAGGTCTGTAGGGTTTAAGCTCCTCTCTGCCACAGTCCTGATGAAGAATGCGCGTACCCACCGCGGCCTGGGCGGCATCCGTGGCATAAGAGCCGGGACCGAAGCCTGCATTTCGAAGATAGGCGACGGCCTCTTCAAGCCGGGCTGCTGTGCGCGAGCCTCGGCGGCCAGCGAAGGCCGAGATGGTTTCGGCCTGCCGGCTACACGCTCGAACCAGCGCACCTATCCTCCCATAAGCTTGCGCTTGGACGGGGCTAGGTGGCCTCCTCAAGGCATCCAAGGGAACATGCTTGCAACCCGCGTGCAGAAAATTAAGACTCATGATCACGAAATGGGTACAACGACGCACGCAGAGCCTGCGGAACTCATCCTTGGACATCTTCCGGGCACGCTGCTGAAACAATCCTGGGAACGGCAGGGGCAGCGGAAAGAGAGCGGTTGCGGGTTCCAAAGTGGTGTCCCGCGCAAGGGTAAGAGTGCTCAAAATGAAATGTGCAAAAGATGTGCGGCCTCCACGGAGGAGGCGGGGCAAGGAGCTTACCCACGAACAAAAGGTGAATTCGTCACCGAGGTCCGGCAGGGGGACGGCCGGCTGGGTGTGAACTGAAGAAAGAGGAGGTGAAATGGGCTTGCTGCCCGGGGAAGATGCCCTTCCCTCCCTAACACAGGAAGGGGGAGCAGGCAGCGGTGACTCCACACATCCACCTACTTTGCCTTTGCGGCTGCCTTTTTCGCAGCCCACTGCGCAGCTCGCTGTTGCTTTCGGGACAAGGCGGCCTCTCCGCTCTCTGGCGCTGTTGGTGAATGAGGCGGCTTTGGAACCCGCGGGGCAGGGATGCTGGAAGGAACTGATGCTCTTCGCGACTGGATTGTCTCCAGCTCTTTCATGTACGCCAAGGCGATGGTCACCCATCGCTGTTCCGCTAATGCAGAGAAGCTCTGAAGGCTCGACCCGGGCAGGTTCGTAGGGGTCTGGAAAAGACCTGGCGGCGGTTCCCCCTGTAACGTGAGGAGCCACCCCAGGGTAGTGTCCCCTTTGTCCAAAGAGGACTGGTCCAACATGAGAAAGAGCAGACTCAACGTGTCGCGTGCTCCATCGACATTGTTGGCCTCCAGCAAGTTTTGGGCCTGGGCGATTTGCCAGGCCACCAAACCCAACGACATCTGTCCAGCGAATCCACCATGGCGCTCGAGGAAACGCATGAAGGAAACCTGGTCTGGAGCCAACAAGCCCGTGGGATCCATCTTTCGGCGCAAGTTCTCCCGCACCTTTGCCGCGAATTGCCCCGTGCGAGCCGCAAGCTCTTGCTGAAGTTTCGCTCTTCCTGCGGCTCCTCTGACTGACGCAGTCAGGCCCGGCGGGCCTTCCAAGAGAGGATCGGACGCTCCCTGAAGCTGCCCCACGAGCGCAACCAAAGCTTGGGATTGAGCCAGCACGGCTGTAGCTAGTGTGTCTGGCGGCTCTCCTGGCAGCTCTCCATCTCCAATGCACTTCGCCGCTTCGGCGTCCAAGTCGGTTTGAACGGGGCTGGCTCGAGCTTGCGCACGCACGGGAGGAGGCGGTCCTAACGCTGCTGCCAAGCTTTTCGGTCTGGCCTGACAGGGGGGCAACTGGGACGACAAAGGCTGGCGAAGGGCTGCAAGCAACGGGGCACCTGGTTCCACCTGGGCTGGCATGCGCTGCACGGGGGGCCGTTGGTGGCCTGCCTCCATGGTGTCCATGCGGTCGGCCAGAGTGGTCATCAACCTTAGGATGGCTTCTTGCTGGCTTGCCAGCTGCTGCACAGTCGGGCGCTTTGGTTTGGGAGCCTTTGACCTCTGTGTCACGAGCGGGGGCTCTCCACCTGAGATCGCAGTGGTGTAGCCCGACCTCTCTGCGGGCAGGGCGCCCTCTTCGGCCAGCCATTCCTTCGACAGCCTCAGGACCTCGGATGCGAGTGGGAAGACATTCGGCTCCCCGTCCCTGAAAGGAAACATATGCTCCGTTTGGATATCGGGCCTGCCAAGCTGCTCGGCCATACTTGCCGAGAGATCCAGCACGACAGCCAGAACGGTCTCGCTGTTTGTTGGAGACACCCAATCGCCTGTTTCGGAGAGACAAATGGGAGGCGCACTCACTAACAGTGATGGCCCAATGCCTTCGTGCTCTGTAGCCTGCTGGCCCTGCTCGAGGTCCTCCTGGGGCATGAAACCATCGGGTATGCAAAGTAGGAACCCATCCCTCCTCTTCATCACGACATAAGCGTGGCATGAGAAAGAGTCGACCCCCTGGCCCTCAGGCGGCCAGGCGAACTGCAAAAGCTCAATGTTTCCACCCTCTACTGACGACAGAGCAGCGAGCTCCATCTCAGCGAGGCAGGCCGGGCACTGGAAGGAAACAAAAGCAGCCTAAACCTGACGGACCTGGAAGCCTGAAGGAAGAACCTCAGGCGGTGCAATGGGCACTCTGGCACGGCAAAAACCGAGGAGGCAGAAGCGATGGGGTGATGACCCCTACAAGGAGAAGTGTGCGGCCGACAGAGAGGGACGCGGCGGGCGAGCTCACACAAGAGCGGGCCCCGAGTCCAGCGAGTGGTTCGGATGCAGCACTGCCCCTCCTAGCCTTATTTGCAAACCTTTATCTGCAGTGTCAAGTCCCAAACCTCCTGCTCAACCATCCAAATACCGAACCAACCTAGCCCGGCGATGCAAACCCTGAGGGCGGAGCGGCTCAGCAGCAGGAGGTGTTGGCTCGGGCAAACGCTGAAGCAAGCTGAAAATCTTCACAGTGACAATTGCTCCCAAGAAAACACCAAGAATCAAGCCAAGCAGGCCAGCTGCCAGAAGGGCCCCGGCGCTACTGCTCTGACAGTAGAAGGGGCAGCCCAATCCCCAGAGGTTGCTGCGGGCGCCTTCTTGTGCCAGCCGTAATGCTCCGAGCAGCGCGTCCATGCACTACCCTCTAGCTCACAGCTGAAGAAGGGACTTGAGGTTTCATTCCAGCGGAGGTCGCCTTTACACATTCATAGCAGTCTCGCCGCCAACCTTGGCACCTGGCAGCTCATGGGTTTTGGACATGAAGGCTAGCTGTAAGCCCAAAAGCTTAGGGACCCGGCCATCATGGGCTGTGCGGTGCTCTGCCACGGCGCCTGACGGCTTTGGGGTCGGCTTTAACGTCAAAGCATATGGGGGCCCGGCCATCATGGTCTTTGGTCTGGGGGTTTGGGTTTTACGAATTGAAGGTCAAGCCTCAACGCTTATAGGGGCCCGGCCATCATGGTCTGTGGGTCCACGTAGTGGTGCTGTGAATGGGTCGGCTGCCATAGCGCCTGGAGGCTTTGGGGCTTTGGCTGTGGGGTCTGAGGCTTAGGGGAGCTTCCACAAAGGTTAAGCGCATGGCCTGCACACACGGCTGCCAAGGCCCCTGGCGGTAAGGTTTGAGGGTTAGGAGGGTTCGGCTATCATGGCCTGCGGGCACCTGCCATGATGTGCCATGACGCTTGGGGTGTCTGGTGTTTGGATTTGAGCTTTGGAGCTTCTCGCTTTAATTAACGCCTCAGGGCGCAGCCATCATGACAGGGACAAACGCATCGTGCGGGCATTCGCACACACTGGTATCACGAGCAAAGTTTGGACCAAAAAGAGCAGAGGACGAGCCGGCACGAGCCTAGTACGTGTGAAAGCAACGCGTCCAAAACATGCTTCGAAGTTTTGCGGCCACCACAAGTAGGCAAGATTCACGTAAACCGATGGAAATTGCCTAGACCAAAAGTCCAATAACATCGCCAGAAAGGATCTTTGGCAAGGGTGACCAAGCGGAAACGCCGTAAATCTGATGTAAACGGCTTACACCAAACGACACACGACATGTCAAACGCAAGGAGTACTGGGGGAAGCGGAGTCCTCACAATCCAACTAAAATCTCACGGAAAACGCTTCACTCATGACCTTCGTGAAGGGTTTGCGCTCTGAGTCGGCGCCACCGTCCGGTTGCTAACAAGCTAGCTGTAAGCCGAAAAAGACTTACGGACTTACAGGCCCGACCATCATGCCTGCGGGTCCACGTAGTAGTGTTGTGAATGGGGCGGCTGCCATGGCGCCTGGAGGTTGGCTGTAGGATCTGAAGCTTCGGGGAGCTTCAAGCCGCAAGGGTTAAGGGCCCGGCCATCATGACTTGCGGGTCCACATAGGGCGCACACTGCTGCCAAGGCCCCTGGCGGCCGGGGGTTTCGGGGGGATTGGGCTGGAAGGCTTTGCGGGAGGGTTGCGCGGAGCTTCCATTAGGTTCTGGTGTTTGGATTTCAGACTTGGAGCCCTAAAGCCTAAGTGCGCAGCCATCATGACAGGGGATGCGCGTGCACTCGCACGCACTTGTCACACGGATGTTGCCACTGTTCGAGCTCGAGCGAAGTGGACAAGAAACGGGCTCAATGACCATAGTCGGGCATTTTTTCACCACATCACGCAGACCGATGTTCTCGAAGGAATCTACATTGCATCCGCGAAACAAAGACCAAGGGCTCGTGAGTGACGAGTGGGGCCTGTACATACGAGCTTAGTACACGTGAAAGCACTGCGTCCTCGAAACACTGCGATACACTGCTTTCTGCAGTACTTCGAAGCTTTGCGGCCACCACAAGTAGGCAAGATTCACGCAAGCCGATGGAAATTGCCTTCGCTATCCACAAACAAGACCAAAAGTCCAGTAACATCGCCAGAACCGAGGTTTCGCAAGGGTGACCAAGCGGAAACACCGTAAATACCGATGCACACGGCCTATACCTAACGATGCACGACATGTCAAACGCAAGGAGTACTGGGGGAAGCGGGGTCCTCACAATCCAACTGAAAGCTCATGGCAATTGCTTCACTCAATGATCTTCGTGAAGGGCATGGGCTTTGCAGAGATTCCAGCCGCAAAGTATAAGGGCCCGGCCTCCACATAGGGCGCACACTGCGACTGCCGAGGCCCCTGGCGGCCGTGGGTTTGAGGGCGCTTCAAGCCCCAAAGCTTAAGAGTTCGGCCCCTGCGGGCACCTGCCATGATGTGCCATGATGCTTGGGGTTTTTGGTGTTTGGATTTGAGGTTTGGAGCTTCTAGCCCTAAAGCCTAAGGGCGCAGCCACCATGACAGGGCATTCGCACGCATTGGCAACACGGACGTTACCACTCTTCGAGCTTGAGCAAAGTTTGGACAAAAAAAGGGCTCAATGACAATAGTCGGGAATTTCAAGACCACATCACGCAGACCGATGTTCTCGAAGGAATCTACATTGCATCCGCGAAACAAAGACTAAGGGCTCGTGACTCGTGAGTGACGAAGTGGCAGAAGAAAGCACGAACAGAGGACGCCTGCACGAGCCTAGTACATGTGAAAGCACCGCTTCCTCAGTGCTACTGCTTTCTGCAGTGCTTCGACGCGTTGCGGCCACCACAAGTCGACAAGATTCACGCAAGCCGATGGAAATTGCCTTCGCTATCCACAAACAAGACCAAAAGTCCAGTAACATCGCCAGAACCGAGGTTTCGCAAGGGTGACCAAGCGGAAACACCGTAAATACCGATGTACACGGCTTATACCTAACGATGCACGACATGTCAAACGCAAGGAGTACTGGGGAAGCGGGGTGCTCACAATCCAACTGAATCCTCATGGCAAGTGCTTCACTCAGTGACCTTCGTGAAGGGCGCGGGCTATGTGGGGACAGACTCAGTGAGCTCTTTGGGCCCGGATTAGCTGAGTAATCCTAATCATGCCCAGTTTCCGGCGTGCTAATGTGCCATTGCTGTCCCTCCGAGCTGCACAGCCCGCGCCTCACGTTGCTGGGCCCGCTTGGCTGCGATCTCGGTGGAAAAATGGTCGCTCAAGTAAATCCGAGAAGCTTCACAGGTCACCAGCAAGCGTCCGGCTAAGCTTCCAGCCTTCTGTCGCAACCACAAGATGTCGGTCAAGGACAGCATGGCGGAAGCAAGATGCGGTGAGCAGATACGCCTGCAAACGGATCTATGGAGCCATGAAGCACCGTTGCATATCTGAATGCTCCAGCTTGCGTGTAGATTCGAAGCCTCCCCCCCCCCTTCGGCAGCATTTTTCCACCCCGCTTCGGTTCTAGGTAGGCCAGCGCGCATCGCACGGACAACAGCAAACGGCCTATCACAAAAAGGCACTGCTCATCCAACTTCGTTGCATAGTGACACAAATTTGTATCGATACTTTTGGGGGCTTGGGTTGAAGCTAACAAGCAATCATGCGAAACAAGTCGGTCGACGTTCGTCGGTGGCAGCGCCACCCCATTTGAGAAATGCAGAGCTAATTAGACCAAGGAGCTGAAATGACACTCCTGCATGTATGGCGTTCCATCCAAAATTTCGGAGCGGACCGTGCCATACTTCAGTTGAAGGCCAGAGTGCCATGAGCTGCCCAAGAACGTTTCCGCAAGTTCTTACATGCTCAACTCGGTCTTGGTACTGTTGACAAGGGCCAGGGCACCAGGGACCCCAAGGCTAACACCTCCTGGAACTTATGTAAGGTCCAGGGTCTGGGTTCAGTGCAGGGAGTTCAGATCGTCTCTTCCAAATGTGCCCCAGCCAGTGAGACGTTGAATACGCACCACACCGCCTGGCTCCTGTCGCTCTAAATCATTTCAATCGAAGTTGCAGTAGAAACCTCAACCTCTACAGCCCACCCACCGTATACTCCAAAACCCTGCAACCCTAACCCCCCCAAACCCCAAAACCAATGTTTCAAAATCGTCTGCTTTTGCCAACGGTGCAGAGTCCAAGCTGGACTTCGGGATGAAGCTCCAATCACTGTAGCCATACTGGCTTACCTCGAATGTTCACTCATCATCCTGGGTCCCATTTGCCACAGAGGGGAGAACTGAATGCTTCTGATGGCTTGATATTCTGCATGCAGTTGGTGCAACGTGCACTGGAGGCGTCATGTCTGACCAGAGGTATAGCGCCTGCTGCTTGCTGTCGCTTGCAGTGTGGACGCCGTGAAGATTGTATGACTACCAGTGACTACCGAACCAAACCGCACAACAACGCAAGCTGCTTCTGTGGCCCGCGCTGATCGAGTGTCGCCTCAAGGCGGCATGCCCGGCACGGTTCTACATCTGGGAAGCGCTTTCAAATAAGGCCTTCTTCATTCTTGGCCCGTGTTCGAAATCGAAAACACACACCCTACCTGAGGGGGCAGACCAAATTCACGTGGCAGCTACAAGACTGCGAAGATTTGATTGGTCAGGCCGAGGTTACCGTTCGGGGCTCCAGCTTCCAGGAGATCCATCGAGGCGCTGCCGTCCTGGTGTGTGAGCAGAGTTTATCACAGTTTGCAAGCCGTCCCTGCGCGCAACTTTACCTTT